TTGCAAGATCTGATGCTGCATTTTGGCATTGTTGACCTTGCATGACGTCATTTATGACGTCACTAGAGTCATACTAGTTTTTCGTCAATAACTCCCAATCAAATTGAGCTAGAGAGTCGACAAGGTCACCAATGGACTCCGGAAGACCTGCCGAATCGAATGATATGCGATATGACCTCCTTCGACCAACTTCGTGATTTGAAGACCTCTGACCTGACCTTGACTCGAGGTCAAGGTCAGGTTGACCTTACGGTGGCCTCACCTAAACAAAAGTATACCATTCGACGCGCCTGAGCAAGGCGAACACGACGATGTCAAAATCGTGGTTCTGCGGCCATTTTTTGCGAAGTTATGTACCAAAGTACCAAACCCGCTGCTTGGGTCACGTTATGAAATGGGGCCTTGCCGGGGGAGATTTACGCTGTTTCATGATATGTATAAATTGCCAGGGCATAATCGTTTGAATAAAAAATTGGTTTGGAAGCAATTTTCTATGGAGGTACACACCATTTCAATGTCCTACCCAGCTCATATCGTCATAAATTTCGACCTACCCTCAAAAGTATTCATGCGTTATTCGAGCAGCAATTAGGCAAATTGCAAGCTCGCCACAGAGCACAAATCCTATAAGAGATAGTCCTTATTTAAAACATATGCTCATTGGATATTCAAGAAGGTTGCTCCTAAATATTGTGGTTCTAGCTTCAAAAACATGGATGTTATGAATGCCGATAGGTTTCGCGAGGCTACACCGGCCGGATCGCCCACTGTGCGTTGGGGGGGGGGGGGGTATTTTGGCCCCCCCTGTGATTTTTCCTAAATAGCAAGAAAACGGCGGCGCGCAGCGCCGCCAAATTTTCAGTACCTTCCCGGGCATCAATTTGACACCTTCACACCGAATTTCAAGTCTTAGGTCACCTTAGGTCAGGAGCTATTGAGGTCAAACTGAGGTCATGTTCGAGCAAAAATGAGCAAAAAAACATGCAATCTTGAAACGCTCACCAAATTTACAGTTACCAAGCAATTTCAAAGTTCTTTACATGGTCTAGTAGACAAAAAGCGGCGCTACAAAACTGTTATCTCGGATTTTCAAAATTTTGGGTTTTTGACCCCCAAAAATTAAAAAAAATGATTTTTTGAAAAACTATAAAAACCCAAAAAATTTCCGAATTTCGAAAAAAAACGGAATACATATGATAATTGATAGTCCCTGTGCTCTTCTATATACATACCAAATTTCAGATCGATATCTCGTTTTTTTTGGCCAAGTTATAGCGAAAAAACTGTTCAAAAATGATGACGTCAAATTTTTTAACTCAATTTTTAGCGATTCTAGACCACGTAGGGCAAAACAAAGACCACCATTGAACTCCCCGTGACGAGCTGCATCGAATCGATACCCATTTTATGCAAAAATATCAACTTTGAAATTTGACCTAATTTGACCTGATCTTGACCTGACCTTGACCTGACCTTGACCAAAACGTGACCTAAGCTGGCCCAAAAGTCTGCCTGACCCACATAATCACATTTGTCATGTAAAATGGACCATAAATTATGTATCACACGACACTTTCATATTGTGACCCCCCCCCCCATTGACCTGACCTCTGTGACCTGACCCGGTATCAGTGACCTCAAATAGCAAAATATGTGTTTGAAGAACATTTTCCCATCGATGATTTTCAATGAAATGCATTTTGCTCGATTTTACAACGCATTTCTTGAAATGCCTGTAAACGGTGAAAATTCGACCTTTGACCTGACTTGTGACGTCATCGGTTTGACCTAGGTCAATAAAATTGGATCACAAGGTAGGTCCCTGATAGGGCTATCCAACACCGTTTCCGCTTGTCGCTAGATTGCGTGGTTCTCGAGATCTTAGGGGGGGGGGGCAAATTGCCCCCCCCCCCAACGGGGTGCGTTGCTCGGCAGAGCCCAACGGGGCGCGGGTTAATTCGCTGTTCAGTTGTCACTTTGATATGAGATGCTTCGGTAAGTAAGACTAGTTCATTGTCTTCCAAAAGTAGTGCGAAATGACTTTTCCATGTTTGCCGATTTATCAGATATGTCGCCACACAGTGGCATTGTAAAATTCGCAAAACGCCTCGCACCTGGTTTCTAAAACGCCCATACCATTTTCACATGTAAAAATGTCTTACATAACAAAAGTGGCTTAATTGCGATGCATTGTTGCTGTCGGATAAAAAGGTGACAGATATATTGGAAAGTGTTTTTTTTTTTTTGCAATGGGTCAGTTTATTGAGCGAGATAACTTTGCTTGCAAATGCTAAGTATCGTTTGTTTTCGGAACGGTACTCCTTCTAACTCTATTCTCCAAAAGCCATGCTTCTGACCTTAATACGATTCTATTTACCTTAACAGTAGAATAATACAGTTGAAAACGAAATAGTATATGTAATATTTATGCAAATGAAACTCATATCAACAGGTGACAACCAAAGTGGGGCGTTTTAACAACACCCGTAATGTAAAACGCCCAGTTTGCAGAGGTCTTGCCGGAATGCTCAATGCAACATCCGAGTGTGTATTATTTCCTTGCGTATTATTTTGTTGAATAGTCGGAAGATAAGAGTAAGTCTTAAACAAAATACCTAATGACGCATGGTGAAATAACCAGTTTAGCGGTGACACACAGTTTTTCCTTAACCCGGCAGTTGCTGGGGTATTTCGCCACCCACCGTTTGCTGGGGGGGGGGGGGCGTTAAACGCCCCTAGCCGATAACTCGAGAACCAATAGGCGCAGCGAAACGTACGAGGCGGCAAACGGAAGAGCGCGACGAGACGCTTCAGATGAGTACTTTTAAGTTGAATTTTGAGGTCAGGTCGGGTCAAGGTCAGGTCAAACACCTGAAATCGGGCTTTCAGTAGCATGGACTTCAGGACTTCGCAACGGGCGCCTCTCGTCATAAACTCTGTCAAAACGGTGCACAATCCTTCATATAAGGCCTACAAGAGTGTCAGTTCCATGTGGGGGTCAGTCAAGCGTAGGTCAGGGTCAAGGTCAGGTCAACCGGGTAGGCACATATCCCCGAAAATCGAAACTGATATTCGCAGCCTGTGACACATGTTTTGTGAGTAATTTTGGGCGTAGAACGCGATGGTGACATTCATTTTATCATATGTCTACGTGTCTGGTTCAAAAATTTCAATTTAAGAAATGCATGTATCATGGTCGTGAAGTAGTCACGAGAAATTGCCAAGATTCAGTTCAAGATTTTGGAAAATGCGGAACGATAATCAATAATCGAAGATAGCCATTTGATTGTTCATGGTATTGGCAGTCTAATGGCGTTTACGGCATGTCTGTATGTCTATTCTGTGATTTTATATGATTTTTTTGAACATATGCCGTTTTTGGTCGAAAACTCAGAAATCATGACGTCACTAAAACCTCGATATCTCAAAAATTTTCCGACTGATTTTTTTTTTTTTTTTAACTTTGTCACAATAATCGTCAATCGATTCCCTACAGGTATTTGGGCGGGCCGTTTTTATGCTATGGCCTGGCGAAAAAAGTGGGGGCGTTTAACGCTCCCCCCCCCCCCCAGCAACTCGCGGGTTGGGGCGTTTTGGACGGTTATCCCCTATAGAATGCTGAAATTTTAGCGGACTTGTACGACCCTCCAGGTATTAATTGGTTGGTTTCCAACATCACAATAAGCGATCTGCATTGATGAATATGTCTAATGGCTGTTGAAAACCATTTCCGAAGCGTGTGCACGAAACCTCTTCTCATTTCTGTTGAGTCATATTACAGGTGTGTCTCTGTCATTCAAAGTTCTTACACCAAAAGCACATAGGCTAACAAACCACTCTTCTGCTGGAGGGCCGTACAACCTGTGCGGCATTCAGCTCAGAAAACGCTGAGGAAGCAGTGCATCAATTTATCCCTCTTTACCGGCGTGGTTACAAGTAACCCAGGATTGCGCCCATAGGCCATGACAGTGCATTGATCTGGTGTCGCTGTCGGAGACAGGGACCCAGACTCCGATAATGTCAATGACTCCTTTTTATATCACCCGTAATAAGCGTTTTTTATGATATCAGAATTTATATTTTTCACGAATGCCACACATCAATATTTAACACTCGCACTGACGGGGGTCTGCGCCAACTTCGTACCGACGGGGGGGTGGGCGGATGACCGCCCCCCCCCCCCTGAGATCTCGAGAACGAAGCAAGATAGCGACAAGCGGTAAACGCATCGGATACGCGCGGACAAGGTCTACAATTTTTAAAAAGGTCATTTTCAGGTCAGGTCAAAGATGACGTCACAGGGGTCAAAAAAGTCAAAATGGCGGCGCTAGATATGGAGAGTTTTTCTCGAATAACTTTCGAATTAGTCAAGGTAGGAACAAACTAAGGGCATCATCGTGATCCTCTCGTCAATCCGCATCGAATGATATATATGTTGACCTCGAAAGGTCAAGGTCAAAGGTTGACCTCAGGTCACGTTACCTCGAGGTCATCATGTATATCATTCGATGCGTCTTGACGAGCTGAACACAATGAGACCATCCGCGCGGCTGTATCTTGTTCCTGTACGGAGTTATTGGCAAAAAACCTTTGGTGACCTTTGATGACGTCACATGACCTTACAGCTGCCCAACAGCAAAACTGACCTCAAGGTAGTGAAGGTTGATCGTATATGAAGTCATGCATGGTATATGGGGCCATTCCGACCCATTTTTGTGGTAAAAACAGGGAGTTGATTTTTCCCCCATTGACTTATAATGGGGAGGTCGCGAAATTGACCTGACCTTAGGTCACCGATATCAAAATTCCGAGATATTCAAATTGTAGCTTCTAATGACCTTATAACATCCTGCGACTTTCAAAGGCCTCCGACATCTACTGTAGCTCTGGCACGGTGACAAAGTTGCAAAAAAGTGACTTGAGGTTGGGTCATTCAAAGTGACCTGGTGACCTGACCTTAAAAGTTAGGAGGTCCAAACTTGCACACCATGTGTAAAATTGATGAGAGAATAGTCTTACCAAATTTCGCATTCGCGAAAAACCTCAGGGGGGATATCCGCCCCCCGTCGGTGCGCGTGTTAAAGGAAAAGGGCCACCTTTAACATGGGGATTGAAACTGAGATAGCCATCTTGTAGCCCGTGTCCGAAAACCTATCTGTCGTCCTCCTTACGGCCGATTTCGGCCTCCATTCGTAGTTATCGGCAATTTTAAAAGAAAATACGCCAGGAATGCGTCCTTATCCCAGGAATGCGTTCTTATCCGACAATACAGCCACCCGCGGCGAGGCTTTGGTTTTTTACCAATCAGCTCCAACCAGCTCAGCTTTAACCAATCAGCTTATCTGACACAATCCGACGAGTCTGTCTTCTGAACGCTGATTGGCTTGAGTGTGACGTCATCGCTATGCCATCATACAGTAGGTGCCTTAGAGAGTATCAACATAGTACCAATATGTTAAATAGTTTTAAATACTTTTTCGCGAATTGTGCACTTCTGGCACCAGTTTTAAAAAGAAAATGAAAAATAATAATGTCAAAATGAAAAACAACGATATCATCATATTTTACGAAGGTGGCCCTTTTCCTTTAAGACGAGAGCAGCTTGGTACGCCGTACGCCACCTTTCTGCGTCTGCAACCTTTCTGTATGCAGCCCTCCCTTCCATTGCTCCGAGCTAGCATCCAATCGGCTCCGGTCACCGTGCGACGGTTACATAACCGGTGGCCAGTTCCAGGCCCAGCCCCGTCCCGCTCCTCTGTCCGGTCCGCTCCAGGCTCCAGCCGCCGGTCCAGTCGCTGCCGGGACCTTGGCGGCGCTGGAGCGGGCACGGCGGTAGCACCGCGCTGGCCGCCGCCGTCGGCCTCCCTGTGTGCGCCCCTGACCGCCGCCGCCATGCTGACCGCCGAGGACAGTGTTTACATGTTGGCGGCCGCCGGTGCCAGCGCCACTGTGCTGCAGCTGCCGTCGCTGCGAGCCGATCCGCCGGAGGAAGCCGTGCCCCAGGGCCGAGAGATGGGTGACGCCGCCGAGTTTCGCCACGAGCCGGCGCAGGGTGCCGACCAGAAGGCGCTCAGCCTGGCCTACCGGGATCTGCGCGACGTATCAAACTACGTGGCCGACCAGCATGGCGCCACCATCAATTACCTGGACCTCAGTCACAACAAGATCAGGTGAGTCCTGCTGCCCCCTTATCTTCTCGTCATAATACCTACGACGGCAATTACAACGTGGTTAAATTGTCGTTTTCGACGTCAATGGTTCGTTTAACTTTTCAGATGAATGATGCTGCGTATTTGGTGAACAGTTGAACTTTGAAGAGAACCATAAGCTTAAACATAGGTCCATTAGTTGGATTAGTGGGATAACGGAGATTTCATTACCGTATTCTGCACATAGTTATCTTCTCCCTGTAGCCGCCATCGGCCATACATTAGCATATTTTATCATAGCACACGCTGCGTGGCTTGCGCTCGATCCTACCTCACCGCCCGGCACATGCTTGGGACATTGGGAGATCAATCAAACCAAGGGGCATGTTGTGAAATCTGCTATTACATCCGAGGAGGGAGGGAGAGCCCAACACCAGCTTGTTTGTGTCCGTTGGGCAGAACCTTTTCGAGGAGTCGTTTGGATGCGTCGCCTGGAAGCCGTTTGGTGTTATCAATAGCCTCATCACATATCGACGTCCCCTTAGGGTTGTTGTTCCCATAACATGCCTCATTAACAGATTCCTTCAGTTTGTAGGGAGTAGAAAGCTGAGCGACAGCCGATCCCCATCTCCGTATTGGCTCCCCCCCCCCCCCCCCCCCAGTCCCATATCGCTGCAGTTGACACCTGTAGTGCAATGACGACATGGCTGATGTGCCGCGTGCTCTCCCCTCCCCTCCCCTCTTTCCCGGGTACGCCGTTTTGCAGTGATCCGCTGCGGCGTGTGACCTCTACCGGTTTACGAGGCTAGGTGTCCGCGCTGCACCGTTGCTGGCGTTTTGAACCCACCTACAATGAAAACTAAGAGGAATGTCGTGTCGGCGAGTGTATGCGACAAGGATAGCTCTCCGACAGCAAACGTTTCTTCTTGGCTATGAGTGCGACTGTCATCTAAGATCATCTAATCTGGACGGGCATTGGCACTCTAGGGGATGGGGTTCGGATGAACTCACGCGGCCCACATTCCTGGTGTGGATGCTTTTAGTGGAGGCCGAAGTCGGGTCCCCGGAGGCCGGAGCTGGGTTCCCGCGGAGGCCGGAGTTGGGTCCCCGGAGGCCGGAGTCGGGTCCCCGGAGGCCGGAGCTGGGTTCCCGCGGAGGCCGGGACTGGGTGGGATTAGATGAGTCACGGGGGGGGGGGGGCTGGGTAAGGCTTCTGTAGCTCGACTAATGTGAGTGTTCTGGCACCGCTTGACAAGGCAGTCTGATGGCTCGGTCATTTTTCGCCTTTAAATTGATGTCCCGGCGCTAGTGGGCCGGGCCATGAATATGTCTTGGATGCATTCTTTTTCCTTCTTTAACTTAACCCGCGCCCTGCTGGGAGGGGGTGTTTGAACACCCCCCCCCCTTGTGGTTTTTCGTGAATATCTCAAAAACGGCGGCGCTCCGCGCCGCCGTTTTTGGTACACCTTATTATACATCAATTCTACACATGTTGTGAAAATTTCAGACCAAGGTCATTCAAGGTCAGGTCACTTGAAGTGACCTCGCCTCATAAAAAGTTTCAATGTCTGTCATTGCTACACCGAGTGACCGATCGCTTTGAAACTTTCAGCGATTGCTAAGAGCAATAGCATGTACAAAATGTATATCTCAGAATTTTGATATCGATGACCTAAGGTCAGGTCAATTTTGCGACCTCCCCATTATAAGTCAATGGGAGAAAATTGAAATGCGCCTCTTTTGGACGAAAGACATTATAAACACTCCCAAACACTGAATTACAAGTGGTTTAGACCCACTGAACATGAAAATGGTGTCCGTGACTTCTGTTTATGCCCTGAGGTCATCTTAGGTCACGAATGGTATCTAACAGTTTTTCGCAAATAACTTTTGATAGAGGCATGCTAGAGCGATGAAAACTTCTTAGATGTGTTCAGCTCGACGATACGGATCGACTGATAAGCAACATGACCCTTTCCGGTCAGGTCATGACCTTGACCTGAGGTCAAATTTTCAAGTTGACCTTTCAAGGTCAAGTCAGTTCATTCGATGCGTCTTGACGAGAGAAACACGATGCCGGCAAAAGTAAGCTCGTACAAGGCTTGGGTCAAAAGTTATTGCAGAAAAACTGTTTCCGAAAAAATTGGCTATTTTTGCAGTTTTTGCCCCCTGCAGGCAAAACCGTTGACGTTAGGTCAAATCTGAGAAAATTAGTCAGAAAGGGCATTAATAGGGCTATCGAATGCGTTTTTCCGCGGCGCTGTAGCTCTATTGGTTCCCGAGTTATGCGTTGGCTTCTTGGAAATTGTCGACATTCGACCTGGAAATCGGCGAAATTTTGCCTTCAATGACCTCTGGTGACCTGACCTTTGACCTGACCAAAAAATTGACCGAAGTGATTTCGTCATTATTTTTGACGCTCTTTCGAACGCCGCCTTCCGCGTATCGCTACGTGGCCCAGGAGCCGAGTTAGAAGGGGGGGGGGGTGTTCAAACACCCCCCCCCCCCCCAGCAGGGCGTGGAAATCCAGGACCCCCAGCCGGGCGCGGGTTAAATGACCGCCTAAGTTTGACACTTTATCTCCGACAGTGCAGAAACGCGCTGAAATGCATTGTTGAACTTCCTCTGACCTCTCCCACCGAAACATACGGGCTGGATCCGCCATTGTGTTTCATTGATGAGCCGCCATGACAACGCTGCGACACCGGTCCAGCCGGTTTCAGCCCCGCTGCGGATGGCATTTGATATCGCTTACCAGTGCCACCTTACATACACCCACTGAATGTATTTCGGAACCAACCTGCGTATGCAGTATTAGGTACTGTGCCAAAGAAGAGTGGGCAGTTTCCATCCTTGCCCTACACATTTGATTCCTATTTTAAATGTTTCTAGTATCCTTAATGCTTCCAGCACTGTGAATGTTTTCCTATATTATACAAATACTAAGAACGTTTTCCGGAGACATGTCTGAAAATCAGAGACACGGTGCACAAAGACAGATCGGCATCGAACGCCCATTTGTCTGTATGTACATAAACAGGACCGCGTGCCATTAGCTCGGCACAGCCCGTACCCGGGGCGGATGTCATTCGGATAAACACTGTCGAGTATCGGCTGGCGTCTTACATCGCGTCTGTCTCTCTGTTTGCAGTAATCTGCAGTTTCTGGTGCGGTTCGAGCGCCTGGCCACACTGGTACTGGACCACAACCGTCTGATTTCGCATAGCCTGCCGCCTCCGATGCCGCATCTCACCACGCTCTGGATCAACCACAACAAGATCAAGGGTCAGTCTGATACGGGCTCTGTGACGCGCGATAGAGGGTCGATAAATATGCCACGAACGAATGCTGTTTTGTTTGTTTTTGTTTGTTTTGTTGGGTTAGGCCCTTTCGGTCGACAAGACCATTGCAGAGCCGGAAGGATGATAGGAATTAGGGGGAGACATTGGTCTGGGCAGGCACCCTAGAGAGTCGCCGGGGCTGAGCCCGTCCATAGGACAGGCCGACCAGCCCCCCAAGCACTCTCTGCACCCGGCTACGGGGTGCAGCTCCCTCGGGAGCAGCGGTGCCGCTCCAAGGGAGCAGCCCGCATGAGATAAAGTTGCCTGTCCAGCCCGGAAGGGGGTTGTGGCGTGGAGGAGAAGGATTTCAGTATCCTGAGGATAGAAGCACGGATAGGTGTGAACGAATGCTACCTGCAGTCTGACTGAGGAGAAAGTGAGATTGGAGTTGTGGTATAGTGTTGATAGCATGTCTTTCTTTTCTTTTCTGAGCGATAGCTTTGTGTTCTCGTATCTGCTTCCTATCGTGTTCCACGTGGACGTTGTTTAAACAAAAGCTTTAAGTTGATTGTCTTCGTTTGTAAGTAGGACGCAGGCCACAAAGGTACCGTACACAAGGACACACAAAGCTGATTCAATGGCCACTGGCCAGGGAGAACCACTTTAAACAAGCACATGATAGTTAAAGATTGTCTACCTACTGGGCGCCACGACAGCTAACTATTCCGTATTCGTGTGCGCACATTTTTAAGTTAAATCGTCGTTTGTCATCGCCTGGCAAGCGAAACTCCCACGTGGCCAGTTAGTGCGGCACCGACTGACATTACCTCCTCTATTCCCTGACCGCAGATCTACAGCCGTTCCTGCGGGCGCTGCGCTACAACTGTCCGAACCTCCGGCACCTGAGTATGATCGGCAACCCGAGCGTACCTTCGCTGGTGGGCGGATCGTCACGCGGTGACCTCTATCGGTACAGGTCAGTGATCGCCGTACCCAAGGCCCAGCCTTATCTCGTGTGATAAGTGATGATCAGATGAGCAATAGCGGCGTCGAGTGTTGTGGAGTGGGGAGGATGGGGGGGGGGGGCGGCTCTTTATAGTGGAAGGACGGCTATTATGTGTGGACGGCTATTTGTCGCGAGTGTGTAGTTTCCTTTTGTTTTGTTTTTTCACAAACTTCCTGCTCAGTGTAGCTATGTTTAAACAGCTGGACTGGTTTCCATTCCACGCAAACACACCTACACACTGCACACGCTGAAGGTAAGTTAACCTTTTAGGGATTCGCTGTCCTTGACTAGTCTGTTCCAGCGTTCGCTCGGCGCAGCAGTCGCGTGCCGATGCGTGCCGCACTGTGTTTACGTGCGCCTGCGGGTGGCCGCGACTGCAGCAGAATTTACTAGCCATTTAGCCGGACTTGAGCTTGTTGTTTGACCTTGTGGCTGACAGTAGTCAACGAGTACCCCGCTTGAAGCATACCAATTCCCCCTCCCCGACATGTAGACAGCCACGAAGCAGTTCCCACACCCGGCCTTGCTGCCCAGGTGTCGGGTTTAACCTCGCTCTGTGCTGAGGCTTCTTCTTTCTTTCTTTGCCGCACGTCACGTGGACGCGCCCGCAGGCGCATCGGACGGGGGCTGGTCGAGCGGCGGCTCGGACCGCCCCACCCGCCGAATGTAGTCGACTATCTTGCCGGCCGGCCCGGAGAGGACCTCGTCGAGGGATGGCAGGGGTCCCCCCCCCCAGAGCCGGCGTCTCGTGGTGGCGAATGCTGGGCACTCGGTGAGGAGGTGGCGAACGGTGTCCTCGGCACCGCACTCCCGGCAGAGAGGGTCCGGGGTGAGCTCCAGGCGGTGGAGCGTCGCTCGTGCCAGGGGGCAGTAGCCGGTCCGCAACTGCGACACGGTCACTTGCCCCCAGCGCGGGAGGTCTTGGAGTCCAGGCGTGGGCTGGGGGTGCGGGTGCCGGTGTGCACGCGTGGCCTGCATTTCCCTGGCGCGCTGCCGTATGGCGGTTCGGGCGCTGGCCAGATCGATGGGCGTCTCCGATTGGGCACACTCGGCCGCCGCGCGGTTAGCCAGCCTGTCTGCCGCCTCGTTGCCGGCGATGTCGGCATGGCCTGGGACCCACTGGAGGATGATGGCCGTGTTCTGTTCCCCCAGTGAGTCCATCGCGGCCCAGACGCGCTCGGCGAGGACCAGCTGCTGGGCCTCCGGTCCGCGTTGGAGAAGCTGAAGGCCGGAGAGGGAGTCGGTGCACAGCAGACATGTCTTGATGCGGCTCCTGGTCTCCCCCGGTTGTGCCAGCAGACAGGTGAACGCCGCCAACATCGCTGCGAGTTCGGCCCGCATACTGCTGCAGACCGAGCCCGCCGGTACCAATGTCTCCACTTCGCGGTTCTCCCGGTGCAGCTGGATCAGCGCACCGCCGCCTCCGTCCCTGGTTCCGGACTTGGCGGAGCCGTCGGACCAGATGGTGCAGTCCGGGTTGACCATGGCTATGGCCTCGAGGGCGGCAGCTTTCCTCACGGCGGGTGGGTCGTCTCTTCTGGTGGCGCGCGGGAGGGAGAGGCGGAAGGTGACCGCGTCTGCTGGGTTGGTCCACGGCGGCTGTTCCGGGACCAGGGCCAGCGGCTCCCGTGGGAGGTCCGCTAGACCCGCCTCCTTGGCCATCCACTGACTGACCCGCCGGAAGCACGGTTTGAAGGGCAGCGCCGTGTCCTCGCTCGGGGGGTTCGGCGGCGGTTCGCCGCGTCTTCTGGCCTCAGTGCGCGCTCGCTGCCAGGCCTCATGAGCCCTGTGCTTGAGGCGTGGGCGGACGTGTCGCTCGATGAGGGCTCTGGCGGGGTCTCCTGGCGGCAGTCTGGCGAGTCGCTCCTGCTCCATTGCTGCTATTTCCCTAGCTCTCACTGTGAGTGGTGGCAGGCCGGCCTCGGTGATGAGGGTGTCCGAGTTTGTGAGGCGGATGCAGCCAGTAATCACTCTGGCGCACTTGTGCTGCTCTGCCTCGAGCCGGGCCCGCACGAAGGGTGCAGCGTGGGTGGAGTAGAGGGCAGCTCCGTAGTCGGCCACGCTGCGGATGTACGCGATGTAGGCCGCACGCAGCGTGGCTTGGTCACTGCCGTATGACCTGCCCGCCAGAGCTGTCAGACAGCATCGGCGCTGTGCCATCCTCTTCTTCACTTCCTCGATGTGGTTGGTGAAAGTGAGCTGGCTGTCCAGGGTCAGCCCCAGGAAGGTCGGGTTCTTCTCGTGCGCGAGCTGGTCGCCTTTGAAGGTCAGTGTCGGGACGACCTTTCCGTTGACCTCCTTGGCGTGTAGCGAGAAGGTGGTGAAGACGCACTTGCTTGAGCTGGCCTCGACCTTCCACTTGTCCAGCCAGCGGGCGACTTGGTCCAGATCCGGTTGCAGCTGGTCGGCGCACGCCTGCAGCGAACGTCCAGTAGCCAGGAGGGCGGTATCGTCCGCGTAGAGAGAGCGGGTGGTGTTGGCTGAGGCTTCTCCGCGGTATTCTTATTGCTGTGTACGCGCTGGCAGCTCGTAGGTACCGGCGACCCGTGCGCGGCATTCGCATCACCTGACCGGCCTTCACTTGATCTGTCAGTCTTCTGGATGATCGTTCAACCGGTTTTATGAGACAAAAAAAAAAAAATGGTCTTAGCCCGGCGCCTGACGCCTGTAAAGCAGGGTTTCGGAGTCGTGGTAGCGCTGTTCCGACTCCGACTCCGGACTCCTGACCGACTCCAACTCCGACTCCGGGTCTGATACGAATGGCAATGGCGGCCGCCAAAATTTTGCGTGATATGACGCCACGTGCTAGGTCTACGTGCACGGGGAGAACGCTCCTACTCTCCGGTTTCCTTCATGCAGTCACCATTTCTCCCACGTGGACGCAGCTGAATCCACAAGAGGTCAGCGGCCAGCGTGGAAACCCGCCGAGAAGCGCGAGAGGCGGCCGTATCACGAGCACGAGCATCGCCATCATGTCGGTCATTCCTATGTGTTGATACTTTTCGGAACATAAACGAAGAAAATAAAAATACAGTTGTCATTTAGTCTTTGACTAGTCAAATACTTCAGATAGTGGAAGTTATAACCGGCATGCAAAATACTTGGCTACTAAATTATGATATAACTTGAAACTTGTAACGTCCAATGTTTGTCATTTAGAACAAAAACAAGATGAGTGCAATTTTATCGCCGGAAGCGAATTCTACCGCGGGCAACTGGTAAAAAAAAAAACTGAAAAGTGATATCACAGATTCTAGTTATTTTCCGGAGTCGGAGTCGAGACACCTTGACCGACTCCGACTCCGACTCCGACTCCTGGCTGCTTGTCATGACTCCGGGCGACTCCGACTCCGACTCCGAAACCCTGCTGTAATGAATATTTATTTGTCAGATTCCTAGTCCTTACTCGGATAATAATTTATTTATTAGTTTAGTTAGTTCGCTGTGCACTGTTAAGCATTCAAGATATGCCATTTCTAACGGGTTTCTACATTTATCATCGTGGTAGATTGTTTCGTGCCCAACGTGGATAATGCTGTCCCTTCCCAACATGCCTCCCGGTCACACTGATAACAGGCGGTGGCATGTCCCAGTGGGCTGACTCCATTTTAATGACACTCTACACGGAGGTGACCTCATTTTTGTGTCCGTTAATAGAGTTGCCGTGTGTTTGTTTTAGTAAAATACAGGCGTGCTGTTGTTCCCGACACCTGCGATATTACAAACGGATGCGTGTTTCACGTATGCACAATGCACAATGCACATGACAGCTAGCCCAACTATTTGAACTATATAGTACATACTCAAGGCTGTCAGTGACCAGCTGCCTGTTATGCCCATCATGGAGAGTCCTTGCTAACACATCAGAGTACATCGTTTTCACCATCTGCTTTCTAGAGAATCTGACCCAGTCGGTCTGACCGATGACGGTGCGTTCGGCAGGATCATGGTACTGACGTACTTCCCGCGGCTGGCTAGCCTGGACCAGCAGCGCGTCGAGGCCTGGGAGCGACCCGACTCGGACACGCTGTGGGCCAAGGTCACCTCCCCGGAAAACTGGCGCGAGGTGCAGCGGAAGGTGAGAAAGGCAGACCACCGCATGGTGTGGATACCGCGCTCTCCCGCCCACAGGCTCGGTCTAATTGCCGTTACGTAACGCAGCGCCGCAGGGTAACCAATGGCTTTCGGCTTTCACCATTCACCACAATTCACCACACCACCATTCACCACGCCATAATAATCTCACATGGAGTGCCCGCGGGGCTTGGAGGGATTAGTGGCTCCATCTGCCGTCTAAATGTGACGTCCGATTGCCCGGCGCTGGTAATAAACGTTTTCCACTGTACACAAAGATGTTCGCGGAGACTGAGCTGGTGTATGGTTAGAAGTCTTTGTGGGGCTAGCAGATCAGCTGCCGTAATCTTTTATCTAACCGAGTCTACGCCTTCCGTGTGATGAGTGATCACACATTACATCGGGTACCACTCGCCTCCATGATCCCACCTGTGGCTCCTTATGTATCATATCCATGTCATTTTGGTTGGTGCCTCGGCCGCACCCACACTCATCACAAAGACATAAACCATTGCTTGTCAAACCTGGAGCAGTCCTTCACCTCCCCTGTGACCCTCGTGTCCCCACAGGTATCCGTGACCGCCTCGGACGTGGCGGACAAGGTCTCCAGCACCGTCGGCCAGGGCTTCGACCGAGTGGCCACCTGGTGGGAGTCGCAGCGGACCGAGCGCGACACGCGGCAGCACGTGCCGCGAAACGTGATGGTGTGAGACGGGACGTGATTCAGCAGCCGTCGTCTGAGATGGCATGTGACCGAGCGCCCTAGGCCTGAGACATCCCGAGGCAGCCCTCCCATGCGAGGCTCCCTGCAGCCGAGTACCACGACTAAGCTGCTTCTATCAGGCTGAGACTCCTGCCGGCATCTGATCGAGATGTTCTCCCTCCGTCCCGAATGACTCTCGTCCAGTCAGAGTGAATTACGGACGTTGCCGTTATCCAGTTCGACTGGTCTGCGCCACGACGAAGGCTGTACAAAAGCGCGCTTCGTAATGTGCTGCGAGTGGATGTCAGGGAGAGCTCGAATTACTGCTCTTGCGGTCTGGTGTGCTATCGTGGTTGATGGTCTGAGAATGGACCCAGTGGATAAAATGGTGGATAAATGGGTGTATCTCGTACGTCAGTGCGTGCCTTGAATCCGTGCTGCCATCTGTGCTGTGTGATGTCTTGATCTTGATATATGTTAGCCGAGAACCTATTGTGCCATATTGAGCGTGAGTAATCTAATTGCAATATCTGTATGTGAGTCATGTATATTTGCCTCCTTGCGCCTATGGTGTATTTTATATCCCCTGAAGTACTTACTGGTGTCATATCCTTGCATGCTAACATTAGTGTATAGGCTTGCATTTCATCACAGTTTATCTATTGAGTAGTGTAATGTGATTGTGTATGTGATAGGCTGAACTGTTCTATGTCCGATAGTAGACCGTGTCAGAGTAGCTAGTTATCATATATATCGAGTATGGCGGTGCCTTTTGCGTACTAACATTCAGCTATTGCGTCTTCCACATTCCAGTCAGCCAGTGATCATGTTTATCCCGTCGGCCGTTCACAATACAAACATAATAACAACACGTCGCGGTTTCACTGGCTCCGCCGCCCTGGCGCGGGGCTGGCGCGCCCCTGGTGGCGGTAGAAAGGTCACAGCCGGCCGGCCGGTGTCCCGGAGCCCCCGACCGGTCACCGGCGGGGTCGGGAGGACGGCGCGGCGGAGTGTAGGTCCGTGTCTCCGGAGACGGGCGGACTCAGGGCGGACAGCTGTAGACGTGGACACTCCGGTCGTCCGAGACGGAGACGATGCGCTCCGATGCGGGGCTGTACCGGGAGCACCACACCTGGCGGGGCCGGGGTGGACCGTCAGTCGGTGGCGGGCGGTCACAGGGGACTGCGGGGCGGACAGCGAGAGGGGGAGGTAGTCATTTCATTCGGCACAAACACATTCACATACACTTAGTCACATGTCACCCATAACAATCCTCTACTGTTGAGCGGTACAGTCACTATTCCAGGATTATCTCATTCATATCATCCCTATATAACCACCGACCTGGTCCGAGTGCTCCTGGAATGTGTGCAGACAGTTCTTGCTGGCCGTCTCCCACACCTTGACCGTGCTGTCGGCGCTGCTGGACACAAAGTGTTTGTGGTCGTCGGCGAAATGCACCGACAGCACCCACGACGAGTGGCCAGACAGCGCGCCCGCCAGCGCAGCGTTGTTCCTGTGGAAAAAAGAGGTGTTAATGGGAAAATGAAGCTATCCCATGGACGCGACAATTGCTAAAAATAACTGGTAGAAGAGACAATCGTCAGACCGAACGAAAACACGACGAATATTGAATGAATATTGTAGTTATGTCGCTACTTGGCGACCACAGGTCGATGCAAGTAGGCTGTTACGTTCACGAAACAAAATATCTATCGTAAATTACCCACCACATAATGTACCAAGACCCCTCCCTCCCCCCGACGCCGACGGAAAACTCACCAAACACTTCGTACCACACCGCTTCATACTTACACGTCATACATCTTGATGTGACCATCATCAGATGCGGTGAGTAGCAGTTTGGAGTCGGGCGAAAACGCCAGTGACCGGATAGGCATAGCGTGTCCCTCGAGCGTGTGCAGTCGTCGGCCCGTCTCGATGTCGAAGATGTTGATGATGCCGTCAATGGCGCCACTGGCCAGGTACTTGCCGTCGGGGCTCTGCAGCAGGCGGCGAGGGGAAGAGAGTGATTGACCTTGTCGACCAGTTAAGGCACTGATAAACGAAATATAGCAATCGATGCCCGGGCACGGTGAGACCTTGGTCTCAGCTTGTTAAGATGAGTACGCCGAAACATATGTAGATAACATAATTCATGTTATCTATAACATGATTCATGTTATCTATGGCCGTAACCGTGTTCAGATAGCCGAGCCCATTTTTGGAGTTTAGCCGTAAGATGCCGTAATAAACCGCAAGTTTAGTATTGTCTGTGCAAAACACCCACTTTCCGTACAAACAATCATGTCCTAAAATTGAACAATAACAGCAAACTGCGGCTGAGCAGCGACTCAAACTGTACTCGTATCATGGGTGAAACAGTACTACTATATATATACCTACCAAACATCTGACAGTTGACACCCTCATATCACGCGTCCTGGCAGCTAACGGCTCCGCAGCCCGCGCTTCACTCACGTAGGCTATGCTGAATGCGAACTTTCCGCGAGTGTCGAAGCTCTGGTCCTGTTTGCCCGACTCGACGCCGTAAACCACAATCTTGCCCTGGTGGGAGCCGGTGGCCACCATTTTCGAGTCGGGCGAGAAGCAGACCGACCACGACTCGACCGGACCGGCGTCGATCGTTTTCAGCAGACCGCCGGTGCCGAGGTCCCACAGCCGAATGGTCGAGTCCAGGGAGCTGGATGCGGCCACTGGACGGACGCAGAACAGAGGTTTTAATGACATTGGTGATATTCGACGATACCGGCACTGCGAGCTTCGTCGTCGCTAAGTACGAGTATGATACAAGTATGATACGCAAAATATCGTGTACGTTACTTGATACTTCATGGCGCCTGCTACAATTTCGTTAAATGGTGAAACTAAATGCATTAGCTTCTACGTTCCCTAAACAAAATACCTATAGAACCGAGAAATATCTACAGGACAGTGTGCAAACAACCACACTAAATCACAGCCACGTCTAACCCCTGCTCTGCCCTGTCCCGACCCAGCAGCCTCCCCTCCGCATTCGTCGCGAGCTCTCACCGTTGCCATCAGCGGCGATATCCACGGAGACGACGCCGAGGGCATGACCTTCGAGCGTGTGCCGCAGGGCCAGCTGGCCCTCGTTCCACTCCCACACCTTGACCGTGTCGTCCAGCGACCCGGTCAGGATGTAGTCGGCTGGCAGGAGGCGGGGTTTGGGCGCCGGCGGCGCGTCACCATCTGCCGCCGTCTCCCTGGGCAGGACAGTAGTGGGGTAACATATGAGTGGTGATGGTATCTTTTGAACTGACAGTTTGAGAAGCATGATAGACTGATATTGTGTCTGTGGACATTTGGCTACAATTCACAGTAACTGGAAGATAATGATTTGAGAAATATCAGCTGGGCCATGGGCGAATGGCTTTCTTATTCTAAAATAAGAAAGAAAAAGAAAATAAATCAACCTCTTCAGAAACAGGAGGCATTTCAGGGCTGAATGAATCAGCTTTGAAATGGACTCACTCTGCTGGTGGCTGCTCATCTGCTGGCTTGGGCTTGTAGCGTCCCCAGGCACAGCTCCAGATGCAGTCATCATGAGCATTCTCCTTTTTGTATTGCAGGGAATACTGAAAACCAAACACACATCAGTTGATTTTGGATGTTGACCACAGCACTCATCAGTAACACACTGCACACTACACTACAACACACTGTACACTGCAAGTGCAGGTGTCATATGCAAATGTGTGTGACCTGAGCAAAACACTTACCCCGCATTCAATGTCTCCCGGACGACGAAGATTCTACGTCGTCTGGCCAACCCCGTTAAAGGTCAGTGGAGGCTCGGCTGAGGTTATGGAACGTGATTGGCCAGACAATATAGAATCTTCGTCATCCGAGAGACATCAAACGTGGGGTTAATTTATTACATGTTCTTCCAATGTTGATGCTTGGTTGATATGATAACTGGCTGCATTGTAATACAATGGACGATGGTGAGTAATGAGACACCAAATGTAAACTAATGCATTCCTAGGAAAAAGGGTAGGGGTTTAAGTGGCAAAACTTGTAGATCTTGATCTTGTTTATAAAATGAAAGCTAGTGTCAGCCCCTGAAGTGCAGCAGCAGAGGTAGGTAGTTATGATGGTCACACACTGATGTCAGTAAGGAGGCAATATTTTTTTTTTGCCATGTGTCCAAATGTTAAATAACTCACCATATCTTAAAAAAGGACTTCAGCCTCAAATGGAAGCAGGAAAATCGAAAAATGTACCTATCTCAGTCTCAGATCACGCTTCTAGCTTCTAGTTTCAGCTAGGCAGGCATCAGCTCATGTTTTGCTGTTACTAATAAAGTGAATGCCTCCTTATATTTCACTAAGTAAATAACACAAGTGATAGTACTAGACACACTAATAAAATATCATAAATCACTATGCACGAAACGAAAACACGCGGAAGCGAGGCGGCCTTCGGCTTTCCAAGAGCGCCAGTTTCAGCACGCAGCTCCGGCAATGCGCCTGAATTGAAAACAATCACTTGTGCCATATGAAGTAATTTTTGCCTTTCCTTCTGCGAACTTCAATAGGCTTTTGGCTTTCCAAAGTGAATCTATTCGATGTTTTGAAATAAAGATTCGATTGCACTGAAGCTACAATCCAACTCCCCCATATTCGATCACTGTGTGTCAATAACATTTTTGTCTCACATCCTCAGCGAAGTTACTACGGCAAATGATTTACTTCTTACGCACGAACGAAAACTTCAACTGAACAGAGTCAGACAATTCATTGAAATTCAGCAATATCTTCCTATTATTAAGCAGAATGACAGCTGATGAGATGAAAATTAATTCTTTTAACAGAATTAGGTCTAGGTTTATGCCGTAAATTAGATAGAAGAATGCAAATCACATTTCTTGTGTACAAGAGAGTGAAGTTTTCTTTTTGATGAGATAAGGATTATTTGCTACCATATCACATCAAAGGTCACAAACTGCGACAATTTGTTGCGCGAGTTTCCGCCCTGGGTCAATTTCCGATAATTGGTGTCGAATTTATAGATTTTTTGTTGTTGTTTTATTGCAAGCTCAAGCAGCAACAATTTTTAAGAACTGGAAATTCAAGGAAACTTTTTGTATGCTGGAAAGTTAACAAAGGAAGCCGTGGTAAGTGTTTGATGAGATGTGGAAAGCTGACTAATGGTTTGGCGTTTTCCCCATATATTATTAACATATTTATGCCCTTGTATTGGTATCGGGAGTTTTTTTCAATGATTCTTTGAGTTTCATCCCAAAGGAAAATAAGATGATTGCTTGAAACCTGAATAAATGTTAGTCATTTGACATTTTGCTGTTGGACGTAACTATTGTACTGGCCGCTGTCATTCCTGGGAAGTTCAGGTTTGTCTAATGATCAGGGTTTTAGCATGTAGTTTTTTATATAACTGTTTCATAGTGGTGTATTCTGACTGTGTACCATAGTATTCTTTAAGTACACTTTGACCTCTTAGTTGTATGCTTCCTTATAGTTTTAAAATGCATGCTTCAATCTTGAGTGCATAAATTACTGAATTAATGTTCCTTTGAATGCCTACTGGATACTGTGCTACTAATTAAAATGATATTGCTGTTTGTATTTTTATGTGTTTCTTGGTTCATCTGTTGGCACTTGGTGACTTGCAGGCTATATTTCCCAAGTGATTTGGTTGTCATCCACTGGTCAAGCTCTTTCCATGCAGGTCCCCACCCTTCTCTCTATTCCTCTGTTTATTGGATTGGTACTCTCAGACCAAAGAAACCCCAAACAGGATAGTTGAACAGGTGAGAATGGAAGACAACCAATGCCTGACTGGAAAGATCTATCCATATGAAGCTCCCTGCATATGGATCTGTCTCAGTCATTGATGTAAAAGAAGCATTTGGGCAGGATCCATTCCACCCAACCTAATCCTGTCCTCTTGTGGAAATCCTATCTACAAAAAAAAACAATGAAAGTAATGCAACCGAACAGTAAAAGTAGAAGTAAAATTTGAACAAAACCAGGTGGTGCTGATCCTGATGCAAAGGGTACACCTTGACCTACATCTACCATTGCATCACATTGTATCACATGATTCTGTGCTGCTTCTGGGGGAGGTTGATAGGCATTGGGCCTTCTGATTATAAGACAAATACATATGAATGGCAAAGAACTTGCTTTCACCTTTGATCTTAGTTTTTCGTAGGTACCAGATGTAGGTACCCATACATTAATATATTTCTTTTTCATCCCACATTGCCAACATTTTTGGTCAGTTTATAGTACTAGTAGATTATGAGCTGATAATGATATGAAATGTGGAAAAAACATAATTGAAAGTTTTGAAATGTTTGAGTAAACCCATAAAAATAACTAGCATTCTGTTAGCAGGAACAGTCAATTGCAAGTGGCTTTTGTATGGTTTTGGAAGCACACGCAGTTAACTTTATCTAGCCACTAATAATTGAAAATTTCTGTATATATTCTGGTTAGCTGTAGTTATTCAGCTAGAACTTAGATAGAGTCCATAGACAATGATTCATAATCATCAATTCCTTTCATTTCAGATAAGTAACTTTGTTACTATAAATCCCATTTCAAGTGCTAAGTCATTTAGCTGTGATTGGAATCACTTTCATATTTAAGACATCAGTGACTGTCAATGCTCTCAACCCATTACACCATGACTGGTCTATCTATCCAGTAGCAGACTGCAGGCCTGTCCACAAATTTGGCCATGGATATTGAATACATCAACAGTGAGCTCAAGGCCAATTGCATGAACTGTTTCCTTCCCACAGCATGCCATCCACAAGTCCCCCTGCACTTCTTTCTTATCTCAGCGCTCTCAGAATTACAAGCAGCAGCGGCACAGGGTTGCGGTGATGCCAGTCGGATTTTCTGCGGGAGATTTCGCGGAACGGGGAGAGTGCGAGCCGAGACGATCGGGGACCAGTCACTGTCGGCACGGACGTCCCCCGTTACGCAATTCCCGCGGCGACCGGGCTGAGTTTGACGTGACGCGGGCTTTTCGCTGGTCGCGTCACGCCGGCCGGCTGCGCCGCGTAACGGCCGTGACTGGGTGAGGAGTCCCCGTGACGTCACGCCGGCCGGCTGGACCACCGGACCGGGGCTTCTGGTCTTGTTTGGCCGCCGGCCGATGGAGGGAGGGGGGGGGGGGGGGAGGGCGGCGGAGTACCGGAAGCCCGTCCAGCGTCGGCCGCCACTCGTCTGTCGGCGTAACCGCCCCCTTCTGCTTTGAACTGCGGCTGCGGCCTCCCGGCTGGCTGGAACGTGAGATGATATTTTGGCATCGGCTTTGTTTGGCCCGGCGATAGTCGGTCTTGTCGATGGTTGAATATCAGATGAAAGCTTCCAGTTTGAAGGAATGGTGTCCCTTTTGATTTTTATGTGGCGATAGTGATGAGATGGTTTTGTGGAATGATTTATCGATTTTGCTAAATTTCTTCCAATCGAACCTGGTATTAACGAAACCTGTACTACTGTACTCTCCCAACGGGCTATAGGCATGTTCTGTCTGTCCCATCTGTTACGTTATCGCTGCATATTTGTCCGCGAATATGTGCCGACAATATGTGCTGACCTAACTGATCGTGCACGTGTGTGTGCGTGTTCTCCAGAGCGGCCGATGGCGGAGCAGAATGGTGCTGCCGAGGTTCCGGCGGCCGGAGGAGCCATCGGCGACTCCGCCGCTCCGCGAGACAGTCGCGGCAACCTCAGCAAGGCGCCGCCCGCGCTCGATGTGAGTCTCGCCCGCGTCAGCAGCCCCGCCCCGATCCTAAGGAGCGGCGGGACCGCCCCTAGGAGCGGCTTCATTAGGGCACCGTCGCCGAGCAGTATTCGCCAGCCTTACCCCCGTCAGCAGCCCCCTCCCTCTGTGGAGAGCCCCTCGTTTTGTCTAACCGTCCCTGTCCCGTCCCCTCGGGCGAGCCTCGATTGACCGGTAGACAAATTGGTGGATATGAACAGGATTTCCGCGGTCAGCGATCGTGACCACCGCACTGCATGGTACTGCGCGGCCCCATGGCGCCCTTGCACAACTGTTTGGTCCTTGTTCCTGTCGAATGTTATCAAACGTTGTGTAAGACAGCGTGTCCTCCTTGCTAGGCTTTGTTTATCAAGCTCACAAAACTGAAGAGTCAAGGCCATCCTACTTGTCAAGGGTGCGTATTAGCATGGGCCGCTTCGCGTGAATATGTGTCCGAAACAGTTCTCGCTGAAGTGATGTATGGACTTAGCTTTTGGTCGTCAAATTTTGTTTAGTATGTAATGTGTCCGCGTTGGCTTTCTTACGTGGTCGTTTCACAAATACAGTCAATGCCGTCCATCTCTTTTGTTGTCTTTCCCGCTAGCTATGCCTATTTCTAGGTCCCTCTGCAGTGCTCTGACTCCCGTGTCTCTGTTCGGACAGATCACAGCGGCCCAGCTGGCCGGCCAGACAGCCATGGCTGTGGCGCTGTCGGCCGCCTCGGCACCGGAGGGCGATGGTCCGCCCAGTCCCGGCTCGCCCTCCGACGCCAGACGCCAGTCCACACGGAATAAGGCCGACAAACAGAAGCTGGGCCACCGACGCGTGCGAGAGGGAGAGGTCACGTATAAAAAGGTACGGCCCAGGTCCAGGAGCGGCTGGGGAGTGACAGGACTGCCGGGCTGCTGCAGGTGGCGGCGAAAAGCAGATGACATGACACAGCTGTATCGTGATGGCGAACGGAACATTAGAATTTTCAAAATAGGTATATGTAGCTTGAAAGCCATTTTGCTTTGAATCGATCATAAGCTGTGTGATGGCTAACTTTGACATCAACGTCTCGAATCTTTGTTCAATTTTCTGCTTCCAAGATTTCGTTAATAATTTCATTCGTCGATAATTTTACAATTTTTAAATTGTTAGCTCATTCGCCACCGATTTTAGTTCACTAGAATCGATTACCCCCCCCCCCCCCTTCCATGTGCCCAGATAGTTCGCGTACCGTTTCCCTGACACCCCGACCTACGCCGCCGTCAGATTCAAACCACCACCATCATGGGAGCGATCCAGCTGGGCATCTCGTACGCGCTGGGCTCCGAGGCGTCCCGGCCACGCCGAGACGTCCTCCTGAACGACTTCTACACGATAGAGACGGTCACCTTTCCCAGTCAGGGCAGCCAGCACACACCGGCCCACCACTACACGGATTTCCGGTTCAAAATATACGCCACTATCGGCTTCAAGTACTTCCGAACTCTGTTCGGAATCAGGCCCGACGACTTTCTGGTGAGATTGCGCGTAGCGAACAGGAAAAAGATTTTTACATGTCAACTGTGGGGTTGTTCATGAAGGTATCGTAAACACTTATATCGGTTATCTGTTGAGGTCATTTACTGTGGGCATTTGCTTGCTATCTAAATTTGAGATGCAAATGGACCATGCAGGTAAATTTTAAGCTTATTTGCGTAGAACATATGTTTGCCTGTCCCTGTTTAATTTGTAGGATAGGGTAATGGTATAGTTTTAGAAGTTATTGGTGCACATTAAGTTAAAATGATCTTTATTACGATGTATAATCTTAGTTAAGGTGACTTAATCTACTGCAAAACAATACCATTCAAACGTTCCAGTCATAACCTATTGTGTGTGTATGTGTGTGACTCATGCTAATTGTTTCACAGGTTTCAATGTGCAACGAACCCCTGCGCGAGCTGGCCAACGCCGGTGCGTCGGGCAGCATCTTCTACCTGACACTGGACGACGAGTTCATTGTGAAGACGGTGCAGCATAAGGAGGGCGAGCTGCTGCTCAAGCTGCTGCCCGCCTACTTCATGGTCAGTCGCTGCCGGCGTCGTCCTTTCCCCCTTCGACTCCGCGCGGGTCCCTGCTCTCGATTCTCGACCGGGTCTTACCCTTGCATTGGTCGTTGCTTACACTTTTATTACTCTTAGTTCATGTGTACGACGTGCTAGCGTTGCTGATAACCCGATAAGATTCATTGCAGCGAGGCAACTCTGTGCGTATCGCGGGGCTATAACTAGGATTATTTCACGACGAATTACGGCGGTGTTTGCGTTTTTTGCGGTTTTTGTGTTTGGCGGCGGGCGGGCGGGCGATGCGGGTGTTTTTGCTGTTTGCGTTTGGTGGCGGGCGGCCGTTTTAGCGGCGGTTTGCGGCGGGCGGCCGTTTTTTTTGCGGCGTTTTCGGTTTGTGGCGGGCAGCCGTTTTTGCGGCGTTTTTTGGTTTTCGGCGGGTGGCCGTTTTTTTACGGCGTTTTGGGGTTGCCGGCGGCCGGCCGTTATTTGCGGTTAGCGGCGGGCGGCGGGCGGTCGTTTTTTGCGGCGTTTAGCGGTTTGCGGCGGGCGGTCGTTTTTGCGGCGTTTCGCGGTTGGCGGCGGGCGATGCGGGCGTTTTTTTTTTGCGGCGGCGGTGTTTGCGTTTTTTGCGGTGTTTGTGTTTTGCGGCGGACGCGCGTTTTTTGCGGCATTTTGTGCGTTTTTTCTGCGGTTTTCGGCGGGCGGGCGATTGTTTTTTTTTTGCGAAGTTTGTGTTGGCGTTTTAGGCGTGCGTTTTGTGCGTTTTGCGGTGTTTGCGTTTGGCGGCGGGCGGGCGGTTTTTCACAATTAAAGTCCCAACCTTCGGATCCGCAGTGCTGTTCGACAAGCGCTGCCCGGGCCTATTTCACGACGAATTATGTGCTTGACAGTCGTAGGGTAGAGCTAACACCGATATTTTTGTTTACAGAACCTCAACCAGAACCCGCGAACGTTGCTACCAAAGTTCTTCGGCCTGTACTGCTATCAGTGCAACTCGAAGAACATTCGCCTGGTGGTCATGAACAACTTGCTGCCGTCATCTATCAAAATGCACCAGCGCTATGACTTGAAGGGCTCCACATACAAACGAAAGGTGCGAAACCGTGCACTATTTGTCGATGAATTTACCCGATTGATGTCTGGAATGAAACTAAGTACTGTTTGGCTGGCTGTGGCTGTGTTGACTTTGCACACCCATACCACGATCATCACTGACCATAATCTCTTATCCCCATGCAGGCCAACAAACATGAGCGAGCCAAGAGCTCTCCGACGTTCAAGGACTTGGATTTTATGGAGCACCATCCCGAGGGTCTGATGCTGGAGGCAACCACGTACACTGCGCTGATGCACACCATGCAGAACGACGTCCGGGTGAGTCTACGGACAGCTCCGAGTTTCCTGTTTTGTCCTGCTGGTAATTGTTTAGCGAATATCATAATGTTAATAGTTGGCCTGCATTTGTGTCACATAAGTCTGTGTTTTGCAGGGAGATGGAGCTCGGCTGTGTGAGCAGTTTCGTTTTGTGTTGGAGTGTATTTTTCTTCCCTGATTGAGCCCTTCCCCCTCCCTCTTTCCAGGTGCTAGAGAGTTTCCAGATAATGGACTACAGTTTGCTGGTGGGCGTTCACAACCTGGATATCGCTGCCAAAGAGCGGACAGTAAGTAGACGCTTCGCGGCCGGGCTGAATCGTATATCTGGATTAGCGCATCGCATATGCATTGGCGCCTTGCTGTTACATAACTGCTCTGGAAAGGTAGATGTTAAATTTCCCGTGAATTTAATTAATTATCAATGCCCAATGACAAAGTATGCCCTAGTAGACCAACCTTTGACAGCTGCTGTGAACGCATTTCATTCGCATTAGGTACTTAACAATGCCGACCGTATTTCGCGTTACTGAACGTAAAACAAACGTCAAAGCAAACCCGGGCGTTTTCGATCTAGCTGCACCGAAAGCAACAGACAGACGATAGTATTTACCGGTTAGGTTATCCGGCTAATTGGCTAGCGTTACACCGTCCGAATTTGCAGCGACCGACCGCTCTCTGAAATCCGACCCGTACAGACGTGTCGGTGTGTTCGCGAGCGTGCGTACGTGTGCGCTTCTGTTTTCCCGTGCGTTTTACGCCTGCACGAGTGTGTTAACGAGCATTTGCGTGCGTCTGTTAGCAGGCCGAGTCCGCGGAGCCGGACGGTGACGCGGCCGACGGCCCGAGCCTGAGTCGGTCGCGGAGTATCAACCGCCACCGTCTGGTGGCTCACAGCACGGCGATGGAGAGCATCCAGGCCGAGTCTGAGCCGATCGACGACCAGCAGGACGTGCCGTGAGTCAGCTGGGGAGAGGGTATGGTTACAGGGAGAGGGGGAGGCCAGGGGCGGCGCTGGACACGCGACGGGAGGGAGGGGGGGGGGGGGGGCGGACCGCGCCGCGGCGGCGGCCCTTCGTGATGGTCAGAGGCTGGGTGGGCTGGGCTGTATGTCAATGTCAGTGAGTCAGCTGATAGGGCAGAGGCCGGGGGTGGACAGAGCAGCCGACCGGGCCGTTTGGAGTGGGCTCTCCTCGCCTCCCCCACGCGGTGTTGATTTCCGTATCGGCCTGTGTTTTCCTCCGGCTGACTGAGCCTCGTGTAGTCTCGCGGCGCTCCTGCCGCCGCTGCTGACACATTACTCACGCACGGGTGCCATATTGTGCTGACCGTCAGTAGGCCGTGTTTCTGGGACTGGCACGAATACAGCGCACGGCTCGGGATGATTCACACCCCACGGACACGATGTTTGGGGCACATAATGCACGAATGTTTGGGACGCATAATGCACGCGTCCCGATCCTACGGAAAATTTATGGCGGATGATGACGGAACAGATCAATGAAATGGAAATGAAATGGATTTTCGTGGAGAGAACATAACCTGGCTTGGAAGTTCAGGTTGGGTTGAGCTTGAATTTTCCGGTCGACGTTTTGCCTAATAATAATTAATGCATTTACTCCTCTTCACTTGTCTGCCGCGAAATGACGTCAGCTTGTTTTGTTGGTTGGATGTGTTTGTTCTGTCGATTCGCCGTTCTACTGGGTTAACAGAGCACTATTTCAGGCCATATATTGTCTGGACGTGCCATTTTACAGCGGTCATTGTATTGGTCGATGCCATAAATCAAGACCAGCCGAGAGTTCCAGATCCGCAGCTCCCCCCCCCCCCCTCGCCCGACACCCCTCCATCTAATGGCTAATGGCTGATCCTGTCTCTTCCCCGGCAGACCGGGAGGCATCCCCGCGCGAAACTCGCGCGGCGAGCGGCTGCTGCTCTTCCTGGGAATCATCGACATCCTGCAGTCGTACCGGATGAAGAAGCGGCTCGAGCACACGTTCAAGTCGATGGTGCACGACGGCAACACCATCTCCGTCCACCGACCCGACTTCTACGCCAAACGTTTCACCGACTTCATGGGCAAGACGGTGTTCCAGAAGATACCTTCGCGTGAGTATGCCACTTGTGTTTGTGACCGCAGTCCCCGCGTCTTCGGCACCGCAGTCTCGCTTCGGCACACCGCGGCCGCGGCCGTCTCTTGCTGAACCCGCAGTGTCTCTCGCTGTACGGGCGCCGCCCCTCTTCCCGTTCTCCGTCGCTCTCTCCCGCGAGAGCGCAGAGGGCCGAGTGGCGGCGCCGCGCAGACTTCACTGTTCTGTCGTTTCCGCAGTTTACCGTACGGTCTGACTGTGTGTCTGTGTGTGACGTGGGTGGCGGGAGGGAGGCGGGGTGTTGCCGTAACTCCCGTGTGTGACTGGGGGCGGGCTCGGCCGGCTCCGTGCCCGCCCCGCCCCTTCTGTGAGTGATCCGCGCGGCTCGGGTAGTGGAGAGCCGCCGCCAGCCGTAGCGCCCCGCCCCGCCCCGTCCCCGGCGCCCCAACACAGAGCGTCCCGGCACTAACACGACCCGTTTGGCGCCCCGTTTCTTTTCTCTCTGTCGCTCGCTGTCTTCTGCGGACGCAGTGGACGGCATTCAGGGCAACCACCGCAAGTTCCGCACTCTCGTGTCCAGTTACATGGGTACGGACGCGCCGGGCGCTCCCTCTCTCTTCCCTCACTCACTCTTTCTCTGTCGCTCTTCCTGCTCTGCCCCGCTAGCCGTTTAGTGACTCGGTGTTAGCTGTAGTGTGCACTGCCCCCGTGGCTGAATGTCGGGCTTCTGGCCGTGCCTGCTACCCTGGCAGACTCGTCTTTCGGCACTACGCAGGTCTCTGGGAGGGCGACACCAGAGGGTAGATCACAGTAGGGTACGACCGCCGGAATGGTAGGGACAGCGAGAGAATGCGTTTAGGTGGGATGCTCTACCAGCTGTGCGGCCAGTGCCGGCACGGCGCGGCCCGTGACGCCTGGGCTCCGCCGTTGGCCGCCAGCCAGCCAGCCGGACCGCCGAACAGCTATATTGCCTGTCCGATCGGGGCCCGGTCCCAGGGACCGTGGCTCGCAGCGCGCGCCGGCTCACAGTGCCGGCCAAATGCATGGCTTCCGCCGGCGCAGGCCGGAGGTGGCAGCATGCCGCCTGGCGTCCGCGGCCGGCGTCAGAGTGCCCGCGGATATAGAGGGTAGCCGTCCCGTGCCTGTGTCCCCACCGCCCTGCCTGCCGACCCCGGCACTGGCTGAGTCTCATAGCTGAGCTCGGCCGGTCTGCGGGGATGCAAATTGCAGATTGCCGCCCAAAGATGCCCGTCAGTGAAGTGATGATTATTTGTTGTATGGTGGTACGTAACAGTTGTGATTGTTGTCCTGCTGCTTGGACTGCTGCTCTGCCTCATTATGATGTTACGATCGGCTATAGATATATCGAACGATGTTTTTTATCCTGGCTCTTCTGCAGATTTTTGTCAAGCATTTGCAGCTGCTCTCAGTGCGTTCTGATGTGTCAATTATTATTGATCGTCCCCCTCTCACGCCCCTCCGTGCCACCCACCCTATACCGTGTCCCTCCGCCCCTTCCGCCGCGTGCTCCGCGCTGACCGCTGTTCACCACGCCCGCAGCGCTGCGGCACTCGCCTTCCAAGCGGAAAGGTCAGTCGCTGCGGATGCGAGCACTAGACAACGAGCGCAAAGAGTCGTCAGAAGTTCCGGCCGAGGGACGGGCCCGGCAGCCCGGCAGGCCAGCCGTCGGCAGTAAGTGCTGTCTAATCGGGGCAGAATCGCTACGGGGACTAACGCTTCTTCGGTGGTGGGTGTGATTTGGTGTTGGGTTTTCTGACTGTCCAAAGCGGTGTGGTCGCGGTTTTACTAACGCTTCTTCGGTGGTGGGTGTGATGTGGTGTCGGGTTTTCTGACTGTCCAAAGCGGCGTGGTCTCAGTTTCACTAACGCTTCTTCGGTGGTGGGGGTGCTGTTCTGTCGGGTTTTCCGACTGTGCTGTGGTCGGGGTTTCTGCGTGTGTGTTTGTGTGGTCGGGACGGTGCTAGTGCGGTCTGTGCCGTAGGAAGCGTCTCACTAACCTGGCCATTGCCCTTGCAGGACAGCCCTCGACGACCACCAGCGACGCAAAGCCAGGTGGGTAGCTAATCGGCTGTCACCCTCCCCTCCCCGCCCCCGGCCTCTGCCTCTGTCCCCTCCCGAGGCATGTGGCTGGCTCCGCCGCGCGCGCCGCCTTCCTGTTTGAGATGTGGTCTGTGGCATCCGCGAGCGGTTGGCTCTGTCGCACAGTTGATGTTGTGAGCTGACTATCAAGCTCGCTCTCTTATCTTTCACTCTATTTCCTGGAAGTATACACGTTCGTATCCAGTAATTGTATCCCGGTATTTTCTTTAAAGGGACCCTCCCACCTTCAAAAAGTTAATGAATTGGCATGAAAGTGATGTCGCTAGGTTCAGAAAGAGCGAAAACGAATATCTACCAAATTTTATCGAAAAATATTCACCGGTTTTCAAGATATTAGACTTTTACTTTTGTTTACTTTTTGGGATCTCCGCTGTTCCTAGCGACTTTATTTGAAGGTGCGGCATTTGTTGCGCGCAAAGCAGCATATACCACCGCGTGCTACAAAACGTTTTAGTCAAACATTTAAAAATCGTTAGATATCTGCGCTGACGTCACACATTCAGAGGGGTATTCCTATGCATTAGCCCCTCTGAATCAAAATGCTGCAATTTTGAAATTCAATATTTCCGATTTAAGGCATTTCTCGATGTTGTGAGTGCCGAAACCAGTAATTGTGAGCCAGGGACCCCATTTTGGCTATCTCAACTCAAATCTAATGTTAAGGTGGGAGGGTCCCTTTAATGGCTCTTTTCAGGTAAAATCATCACCGTTCCGTGCTTCTATCCTCAGAATACTGAAATCCTTCTCCTCCACGCCGCAACCCCCCTCCGGGCTGGACAGGCAACTTTATCTCATGCGGGCTGCTCCCTTGGAGCGGCACCGCTGCTCCCGAGGGAGCGCACCCCGTAGCCGGGTGCAGTGAGTGCCTTGGGGCTGGGTGGCCTGTCCTCTGAACGGGCTCAGCCCCGGTGACTCACTAGGGTGCCTGCCCAGACCAATGTCTCCCCCTACATCCTATCATCCTCCCGGCTCTGAAATGGTCTCATTGGACCGAAAGGGCCTAACCCAACAAAACAAAAAATAAAATCACCACTTTCCCAACTTGTTTTGTCAAATCAATTATCGGATCACTGCATTCCCTGCTCTACATGTTCCTCTATTTCCCTGGCTCTCTTCTCTCTATCGTTTTTCTCGCTGTCTGTCTGGCTGAATTTCTATCGACAGTCTGTCGGCGGTGCCGGTGGTGGTCTGCCTAGGTAGCGGGCGCTGACGCGGTGCGGACGTGTGTGTGTGTGTGTGTCGTGTTTCAGGAGCTCCCAGCACCCCTCCCGTGCCGAGCCCCGCGCCCGCCCCCAGCGCGGCCGGCGCCGCCCAGGTGTCGCTGCCTGCCGTGCTGCAGGATCGGCCGCGGCCGTCGCCGCCGTCGGGCCGGCGCCGGCAGCCGCCGCCCGTGCCGCCGCGCTCGCCGCAGTCGCTGCCGCTGGTCGGCGCTCGCAGCAGAGGTAGTGCGCCGCCGCCGCCGCCGGCCGACGCCCGCTGCTGTCCGGCCGGCCTGCCGCGTCCTTACCGCCCACCCCGCCCGGTGGCCGAGCTCCGGCCCGTGCGGCCGCCGGGCGCGCCTCCTGAACCGCTCCTGTCCCCGCGACACCGCGGATACGACCTGCACACGACCTGGAGCGACCAGCGGCGACTAGGTCCGAACCCGTCCCGCTCCGGCTCCCGTGATCGGTCCTTCACAGAGTTGTAAGGCCTCAGAGCAAAAACAGTCATAGCATCCCAAGATTCCTTTATAACATCCCACCTCCATGAACTCAAATTGCTTCAATCAATATAATGTATTACTCATTTCATGCGACTGATATCTCAAATCCTATTTTGTGTCCTTGTTGGGGCCGTTTTATGTTTTTATGCCATTTTGATATATCCTATACTCTTGTCTTATTCTTATCTTCCTTCTCACACTCATATCTTCCTTCAATCACCGATGTCATCTCTCATATCCTCTCCTCTCATCCTTTGTTCCCTGCTCTCCTCTCGTCAGACCTGCGGTGGCGGCCGGACCCGGAGAGCAGCGGCGCGTCGTCACCAGAGTCCGGTCCCGTCCCGTCTCCGCCGCGGCCTCTCGCCGGCTGGCCGCCGTCCGGACGCGCATGGCATGCCGGGCCGGCCGACGTGCTGCTTTGCGTGTCGTCCACGGCCTCTCTGCCGACCGTCTGTCCCGTCTGCGCACGGCACGGTACTGACCGCCCCGCCCCGCCCCGGCCCGGCCCGGCCCGTCCCTCGCCGCCGCCGTGTCTCGCCGGCCGAGGGCGAGGAGCGGCCGACTGCATGCGGCAGAGTCTCGGCTCTGGTGGTCCGGCGGCGGACCGACGACACCTCTGGTCCGTCCGGTCTGTCTGCTCAGTACAGCGCCGGCCGCCGCGGCCCGCATGTCGCCTGCCCGTTCAGTTCACACCCGGCCGGCCGCCGGTCAGTCGGTCTAGGTGTACCGGTCACAGGCCGGGGCCTTCTGACTGAGTTTGTACATGAGCGATGAATTCGGATTGGTTATTCTCGTTTGCTTTTTCAGTTCTGCTGCCTGCATCGTGTTCCACTGCTGTCCACTTCCACGCCCTCGGAATTAGTGAAAATAGTGATTTGTGAATAGAAACACGAAGCTGATGAGTTGTACACCTTTTTCATTGAGTTGTATATTCTCATCACTTGAGTTATCAAGTCTTCTGTTCTTTACTTTGCTGATAGATCCTGCAGAATTTTTGAACTTAGACATAGTTTATAGGGTTTTTGTGTTTATAAATCATGTGATGTAAATAGTCTCAGACTGCTCCTCAGTCCGAGTATTATAAAGCCGTCTGGCGCCGTTAGCTGTGCTCGCTACATCAGCCTTGATATATGATCGGCCGTCACACCCCACAGTGATGTATTTCATAACGTCGTCGCAGCCGAGGGGCGGATGTTTTTCTTTGGAGGCTCTTCATCCTAGGCACGACAGTCTGATAAATGTGAACATGGGCAAAAGAGCAATTCTTGATCTGCCCCCTAACTCTTGCAAACCCTTTCGCCTAACGTGGTATGGTTTACTAAACCATAGTGTTCATTTTTGGTTCATCCGCTTCCGTGTCATACAATCTTGTATCTTTCCGCAGTGTCCTGTTAGTAAAACACCCCTGGTCCCTCTAGCCAGCTGTCGGTCACTCCCCTGTGCGCTGTCCGTACTGACCTGCCTCTGACTCCTGCCCCTCCCTGCAGTGTCCGGCGGTGGGGTGCCGCTGCAGCAGCAGCTGAGTGTGGCCAGCAGCGTCAGCCAGCCGGAGACCACCTCGTCTCGACACGTCACCCAGGTCACCATCAGTGGCTCGACCGCAGACGGAGACAAGGGAGACTCCATCAGGTGAGATTCAGATACGTGGGTCGGTCGTGATGATCGTGCACACCCGGCGCGCACTGGGTTCTGTTAGTGTCGCTGTCATCGGCGCCAGAGCTGATCCTTACAAAACTGACGGGCGGCCCGCAGCGGCCGGCCGTCTACACTCTCCTCTACTGTCTTCGCTACAATCGCCGTCAGTGTCACTGTGCCACCCTCACCATCACTGTCAGTGTTACCGTCACAAGCACCGTCACCTTCACCGTCCACCAACCATAGAGCTCATAGCACCAGGAATCCTTCCTTTGATCTAGCGTGCCTAACGTGGTCGTGCGTCTTATCCGCCCGGTAGGCTGGTCGGCTATAAGCGCCATCTGGCTCGGTTTCCTTCTGTTCTGCGAACCCCGGAGCTAAGTGCCCCCAATATGCGCCGGCGCGCAGAGGAGGCGGTCCGTGCGGGTACCAGGTACTGGTCGAGTGCTGTGTGCCGTGACGTGAACTAACCGACTTAGAACAGCAGCTCGGCGTGAATTGAGGCTAACAGGAACGCTGATTGATGTTTCAGACGACACTCGTGGTTCGAGAGGTTTTTGTTTTGATTTAAATAACCGATTTTGTTTTGGTTTTGAGTCGGTGTAGGTGCGAATGTGATGCTCGAGTTTGCAGATAACACAGCTAATGCCAGCTGATGGAGTGAACCGAATGCGGTGCTGGTCAGCGTCCTGTGCACGTTTGCCATTTGCGTTTTCATTGTTACATTGCCCCTGTATTTTTGTAACCGATAAGGGCGGCATTTTATTGCTGAGTACGGTCAAGTGGTGGCGAGGGCACGAGATGTTCGGGTGGATTTGCAAGTGTACGGGGCTGGTGTATAAGTGTACTGGGAAGGTGTGCACAAGTGTACCGCTGCAGCAGCGCGTGCCTGTGGTACCGTACCGTGCCACAGCCGGTCCGGCTCAGCAGCGTGTCGCCGTGTGGCCGACAGCGGGCGGCGGCCGGCGGTGGTGACTGCCGTACAGCGCTCGGAGCGATACCAGCGCTCGGAACAGTACCAGCGCTCGGTCCATCACCTGAGTGTGTCGGTGGTGGCGGTGCGCCGCACTGAGAACAGGACTGTGAGGTACCCGGCGGTCTGACCTGAGCTGACCCCAAGCTGACCTGACCTGACCCCGACCTGACCCCGTACCGCACCGACTGTCGAACGCAGGAGGCACAACCCGTCACAGAGAGGAGTGTCGGACTCACAGCACCGAACCGACAAGACAGTGCAATCTATTGCGCCAGATCACTGGCTCATATTACATAATACATATATCATAGAATATAACAGTTTAAAGGATATTGCACCTCATGTCAACTTCAAAAGCTACTCAAAATTCCCACTTTTATGTACTGGTTCGCCGGTTCTGCGTTTTGAGCCTGATCCGCTCCCGTAGCCTTTTCAGTAGGTGTAAATAGAGAAGCGATCTCCCCGTCCAGTCATGGAAAACCTACAGTACCCACTACCTCTAGTGAGTCAAGGAGGTGGCGTCATCTAGGCGAAGCTGACCTTCCAGTCGCGTGTTTTGAGTGATTTGTTTGTTTACAGGACAACTCTGCAATGTTTGGCCAGCCGCATCGTACATTTGTCATAACATCAGGTCCATGTACTAACAAAGCCTGCCGGAGATTGTTCTGTCGAATTTGTGTCCGTCCTGTGTGCGTCCGTTTGATTTGTACTCGTCAGCATACTAGCCGCACGTGTTTCTTACCTCCAAGTTATGCAGGGACGCATTCAATCGCGCTTGTCCAAGCATAGTTCGTAGTTAGCGCTTCGACATCAGTAACACATATAGATCAGTTAATCCCTTCGAATGAGTACCATCCTTCCTTCATGTGAAGTCCAATCATGAGGTTTTTCATACTCGATACTATAGTAGGCTGTCATACCCAGCGTTCAACATTTTGATATCATATTAGACTAAACCACCGATGCTGTTGCACCCGATTCCTCCCCATCGCTTTCCTCGTTATTTACCGCTAGACCACTTCTCCTTTTCACATATGCTCGTCTTCTATCTCGTAAATGGTAACCCTCGGTCAGCATTCAGCTTCCCATTTACCCTCCCGCTATCCCACTTTTCACCTATTCTTTTCGCCCCACCTCTCTACCCCCCGCGTCTCTACACTACAACCACCAACTTATACCGTCTCCCCACCCGCATCTCGACCCACAGCGTCTCCGACATCCACCTGGACGCGCGGAACGACTCACGTTCGTCTCTGAGCGTGGACTCGGGTCCGGCGGCCGGCGGCGGCGGCGGCGCGGCCGGCGGCCCGCTGCGGCACGTCACCTGGACACCGCCCATGTCTGTGGAAGGCAGCACTCCCACCTGGACAGAGGGCACGCCGAGCTTCACCGAGAGCTCCAGCAGCGGAGATATTGGTGAGAACGAGAGGGGGAGGGGGATGGAGGTGGAGGGGGAGATGAGAGGGCACAGATCTCGCTGATGTGTTGGTCCCGGACTAAGAGTATCTGAGTCCATGGTGCGATTTTTAGTTTTTGGAGACTGTGGAACTGAGGTCTGTTGGTTCTTGGTATTTTCGTAATAGTTTGATTGTTACTGCCGTAGCTCAGTGGTTCATTAGTTTCGTATACGTAGTTCAGCCTTGTGGTTTTTGACGAACACGGCACCACGTGCCGATATACACAGTAGGCAGTTACGACAGTAGACAGTAGATCAGTCGTCTTCTTACCTCTCTCGCGCTGCATACCTATGTTCCCTTTATGCCTTCCCTGACGCGCCCACCGCCGTTACCGTTGGCAGGCTGTCCGACCACGCCGGTGAAGAGCCTGCACGCCAGCCGTGACAGCGGCGTCAACACCATGCCGTACACAAAGCTGAACAACGCTGAGAGCGGCCGGCCGGCCGGCGGCGGCTACACAGAAACGGAGATGGTGAGTCCCGGACAGAGAGTCTCGTCCGACCCGGCCCGTCACGGTAGGAGGGTGGGGTGGAGTGGGCGGACACTGGCCAGGCTACAGCACAGCCCTGCCAGCCGGTCTGAGGGAACAGGCAGTTTTGGCATGCTCACGGCTTGTGAATGTGTGGGTGTCCTGTGATGAGCGCACATACACATGTCCGCTTTTCTGTATTTGAGTTGTTCAAGCACTTTATTTTACACATGTTTTATCCTCGTTATGTTTTTTTTTAAATACTTTATGCCCACCGCAACACCACGACCACTGCCACCTGATTACATTGTTTCAATAATGCACTTTGCTCAGTTTCATTTTCCCTTCCGAATGCCTACCGAATGCTTATGGCCTTGCCTCACCTGAATTCTAGTGCCCCGCGTTAGCATGCCTTAGTTTGAGTAATGATGCGTCTGTATGTTTTGTCGAGATGTGATCAGTCGTTACATTTATGTTTTTGTTTTGCATCAGCGTAGTGATACCGCAGTCCTGGAATAACACCGAGACATTGTTCCATGACTGTATTAGTAGATGTTTAATCTTGGTGAGTTTTTTTTTCATTTCGTTAGATGACTGCATTTTCGTATTTATTCTTTCGTTAGTATTTCTTACATTTATTTTGTTTTCCTGGTTTGAGAGAGCCGGTCGGCCTAATATGTTGTTCCGTTATTGTTTCGTCGTACCCAGCACGTCGATTGATTTATGATGCTTCGATTGTCACCGCGGCAATGCTATCACTCTGTTGGTATGTTGCCACAACTATTTTAGAAGCCACTTTTATGCTACGGAAAATGATTTATTTAACATACCGGAGGTAGGCTGCCTTCCGGGGAAATAGAACGACATGCCCTGCTTAGTTGTGTGCCATCTAAATGCGCGTATGGCGACGCGGAATAAATCCTGCTGTCATGACTCGTTCATAACAGCTGTGGCTGCATGATGAATTACTATGATATATGTCTCAGCATGCTAATTGCGGCTTCATTCCTAGCATGATGTGTTGCAATATTGAGTTCTTCGTCGTACTTTGCCTACGTAGTAGTGAGTAGTATCTTGTGCTATGTAGCACATTGCGTGCGTAGTATATAGTTTTACTTGGCACGTTGCCTACGTAGAGATACGTATATGTATGCGGACGTATCGCCGTTTGTGTTGATATTTTTGTCTCAAGATCTGTTGAAGTAAGTTGAGTTTGTTTACGATATCGATATAATTTTTTAAAGTACTTATGTTGTCACCGAAGTGTTGCCGTTATTGTTGTATCGTGCCTGCTATGGCCTATGAACTACTGGTCCTATTACATTGTAAACGGCTTTACGCCTAAATAACGGCTACCTATGCTGCTGTTGTCAACTGCAACACATTACATTCTGATGGCAAAGGACTTGCCAGTCAATTGCGATATGATGTTAGCCATGTATCAGCTTGTAACGTAAGGTTTAACATAGTGCTGTACTGATTCGCGAGATAGTGACGGACTACTCGTCTTGCTGCTCGTCAGTCGGTTGAGACGGAGCGTTCATTAGCCCTGAGCTGGCTCATTCATCATGAGTGTCTGTCCGTCTGCGTGTGCCGGGGCCGGCGGTGACGAGCGCCCGTTTGCAGTGAAACCGGCCGGGGCCGGGCGGCGCCAGCGGTGCCCGGCTGGGCGTCAGCCGACCGGCTGTGTCGGGCCGCCGCCGCTGCCGTCCGCCGGACTCGGCCCCTCCGCTGCCCCTGCGCCGTCAGCCGCCGCCGCCGGAGGCCAGCACGGACCGCCGGGCCCGCTGACCTGCCGACACCGGCCGCCTGGTCACCGCCGCGCTCCGCACTGAGATACTCTGAACGAACGGCGGCGCGGGCGGCGCCAGCTAGCTTCCATCGCGTCTCTATCTCTGTATCTGTCTGTCTCATGTTTCTCGGTGTATCCTGACCCTCTGGCCGTTCCGTGCGGCCGTCAGTCTCTGGCGGTCCGCCCGCTCTCTCCCTCTCTCTCTGTCGTCCATGTGCTCTGTCTGCGTGCCCCTCGTCTGTGACTGCGGCTGCCGGGTGCCGTCCACCCCGCGCCGGTGATATCTCCCCGCCCGTCCGCCCGCTCTGTATGTGTCTGTCTGTTTGTCTGTCTGTCTCGGCCTGTTCTACTCGATCCCGTAGTCCCTCTCCCCCGTCCCTCCTGTGACTCGGTGCGTCTGGGGGGCCGTGCCCGGCCCTGTGGCCGCCGGGCCGGTCCGCCCGCCGGCCGACTCCCGCTCGGGGACTGATCTCTCTCCGTACTGCTCGAGCTTAGACTGGCGCACTCGCCGGCGCCTGAGCGGCGAATTCAGCGCGCCCGGCCGATCGGCCGTCACACGGGTGAAGTGACGGTGTGAGTGGGCGTGTGTGTTAGTGTGTGTGTGACAGCGCGTGCGGGCGTGTCCGTTGTAGGGCCTCAGACGGTGATACGTGGGTTGTTAGCGGGTGCTACTGTCGTTCAGATGATGACGTTGTATTCCGTGATTCGCACGCGTCTCGTGTATCCAGGTAGTCAATGTGAATACACTAATGCTGTATCGAACCAGGAGGCTGTTTGGACGCGGCTTGGTGATTCCTCGGAGGTTCCTCGTTTCCATATCCGAATGAAGTCCTCATTTCCATTGAGTCTACACTTAGCGTAACAACATCGCACGCATTCATGTGTTTAGGTCACAACTATCCACGCATACACATTTAGCATTGGCACCCATACGTCATAGTCATTTCAACGCAGGAAAAGGTTTGTATTGCTTGGTTTTGTGTTATCGCTCATTTTGTTTTGTCGCTTTTGGGTACCGTTACCATGGGCTTTTGTTCGTTTTGTTGTGTTGTCTTTTGTCGGGCCTCAATTCAGTGTTATGTTGGGCGTTTATTAGAGCTTGGGTTCGTGTTGTGTTACCGGGTGCCGCCTGGGGGCTTTGTTTCGTGTTGTTTGGGTTCCGACGGACAGCGCTGCTGTCGGGTCGCCGGTGACGCGGGCCGGCCGTGCACTGTTCCAGGGCCCTGTGACGGCGGCGACCGACTCGGTCTGTATCCACGTGAGCGGCCCGGACGGACGGTCCTGAGCGGCGCTCTGGTCACCGGCACCAGATCGACAGCACAGCGCCGCGCGGCGGCCCGTCTTCCACACACGAGCACATGTACCGAAGGGGCTTCGCTGGGATCGGGTTCGGAGCGTCCGACCAGCGGATCGACCGGTCCTGTGGTAATATCGAGCGGACTCCACCGGCCGGTCAGACGGAGATTGGCCAAAGAGAACGTTCGAAGTTCCCAATCGGACGGAGACGCAATCTCGGTACCAGATATGCTAACTCTGAGAACAGCGCAGCGAAGGGTGGTGTGTGTGCTGTACGTGATTTCATGCATTTTACCGGAGCGGTCGTATCCCGTGATAGAACCGCGCAGTCCCGCTTTATTGGTGGTGTTGGACGAAGGGATCCCACGCCAGCTAACGTGGTGTGCAGTGGGTCCTGTCCCGACAGCTATACCGTAACATACGACTCATTGACTGAGCCCATCCCCTCACGCCCCCTGAGCATACTTCTAACGAAACTCTCGCCGAGTTGGGCGGTGCTGAACCCCTGAACGGTCCCAGTAGCGAGAACCGCAGGCATAGGAGCTTAAGGACCGATAAGACATAAGTCGGCATCATCCAGCCGGCTATGGGTATCGCTCCCGTCCCAGTCCCGGCTGAAGCTGCCGATAGGGCGACGTTGGCCGAGCGATGAGCCTAGGAAAGGTACCTGTGATGTGACGAGTGCGGACGGGCAGTACTGGAAGCCCCCAGTGTTAGACGGAGACGACTTCCGCTGTATAAATGTATGTATTGGTGTGTGAGCGAGGCCGCACTTTGTTATTCCAATAGACTGTCGGTTGCCCGGTTCTGGCCGGCCGGGAGCCGACACGATGTTAGTGATCACAGACATACAGAGGGAGACTTGTGCACATATAGAGATCGATTTAGCGTCGTGGCCCAGACGCCGAGTGTGCTGTTTACAGTGACCGTATTTATACTTTGGGGCGGGCTGTCGCCGCTGGGACAAACCGCTGGGCGGAGGTCCCGCCCGCACACCCAGGGGAATGTTGTAGCGTTAGCCGTCTGCAGAACCTGACGCCTCGAGACCCGAGAGAAGTCTGGAAAATTCCGGAGATGAGCCGGATACTGGCGTCCCGAATCGACTTGCTTGGGGCTCGTATGTATAGCTTACGCATAATAAAGCTAATGCGCTCTGTGGCCGGCTGTGTGTGGGTGTGTGTAGTTCCGTGATGGGATGTTTTTACTAAGGAGAAGGGTACGGACAGACACGGACTGACAGAGACAGACAGACGGGTGAGCCGGAGTCGCTGACCGGGTCCGGCTCCGTTTTAGGCTGCCGACCGGGGTCGACGCCCCGCCTATAGCTGCTGTCCGGCGCCGTGGCTGGTCTACTCTCCCGACGCCCGGATCGTCTGCCTTCGCTGCTCAGCCATGTTCGTGTAGCGAGGAGAGCGCAGGTACACAGGCCGGCACGGGGCACTCTGGCCGTTACTGCTGTGTGCCGGTGTACACAGGAGGGGACAGCCAGCCGGTATTTACCCGTTTTAGCATGGATAAACAGACGTTGGGGTGTGGCCGATCACCAGCGGCTGGACTTCTGGCATTCCGGCTGCTGCTGTGACCTGTGGTGTGTTTCTGACGCTGGAGCTCCGCGGTCTATTATTTCCTGTGTGACTAGAAGATTGGCGGCTAAGTGCCTCGCCCTGTCATCCCATTCCCAATGCAGTGGTGAATGGTGATTATCGTTCTCTGGCTGACCCGTTTTTATAAAGCCTTTACAGTGGTGCTCATAGAAAACAGAAATAACTTCATGAAACTGTTGTCTTTTATATATCTTTTGTTTTGAACATACTTTGTGCTTGCGAATGTGGTGAGGGTTTCATTTTGCTCTTTTCACCTGTTTGAAAGCTTGCGGTTTGCACTCATTTCAATCCTCTGGGCTTTAGCGTGTAACTTGGATCTCTCGTTCGTTTTTGTTTTTACTTTTCTATTTTTGTCATTAAAGTTAATTGAAAAGAATGTCGTTGAGCATATAAACTGCAATATTTCCCGATCAAAGTCGCTAATGCATGAATTTATTTCGCTCGGTACTGTAATGATAAACATTGTATGCTTAGTCGGTCTCCTAGCCGCTGACTGTTGCGGGTTTCGTCACTTCGATGTAAATATGTAAATAAATCAACTGAAGTAGCCCGGTCTGGATGCGTTTTTCACGTAGCGCTGCAACATTGATGCATAGTGTCGCAGTGCAGTATTAATGTTTAATCAATACCTACACTCGCAACTGTTGCACGACTTCCACGACGTGATGACCTTTACAGCTATCTGGTTTAGTACATTGCTTGTAGCTGATTGATTGTAGCCTATTGATAGAGATCGGGTTGTGCTACTTTGGGTTTATGTGTGTGGTTGTTCGGGATGCCCGTCTGCTTGCTCGTCTCCGGCCTGTCTGGGGTGTGTTCTGTTTGCTGTTGGGTTGTCCGTTTTGCTGGTAACCCGGGATGAAGAGCAGGTATACGCCGCATGGAATCATCGTACAGGAACTCCAGGGAGATGGGACAGATCGCGCCAGGTTTCCTGGTTCGCTGCGTCGACTCCCTGTTCGACCAAGCGACGGTAGGTGTCCATCAATGGCATGCATGCGACTCTAATCTCCGCTGTTACATTGTACCTCAGTAGTCAGTTAGTGTACAGTTAGTGCAAGTAGTGAGTGTAACCTAGGTGACGTTTTTTAGACTAGTCTTAGATATTCCTCCTTTTATTGTCATCAAACTAATTAAGAGTGGGAACCACTACATTTGATGACACTTGGCCTCTTGTCATCCGTTCCATACTAGCACTATCCCCGCTTTGTCTCCATGGTGGCGGTCCCCTCCCCGCGTCCCTGCCTGATGATCAGTGCCGCAGGTCTCTGTTCCAGACACACCTCTGAGCTCGGTCTGGGGCGACTACGGGACCAACGAGCGATCAACCCGCGGTGCCGCGGGACGTGTATGGCCGGGCCTCGCCTCCGGCCGTCTCCGCTCTCCGGCCGGTGCTTCTCTGACGTCAGTGGTGACCGCCAGCTATCGGATGACGTCACTGATGAGCTACAGCGGCGGACTCTCGCCCGTAGTGGAGCTGGAGGAAGTCACGCCGCCACGCTGGCCGCTGGCGGAGTCCTTCCTCGAGAGTGTACCACCTCCATTGGGGACTGGCAGACGACGTTCCAGCTCATCACCATCGGCGAAGCCAGACCTATCGACAATCGCATCGGCGGAGCCAGAAACGCCGACTATGGCCGTGCCGGGAGCTTCATCATCTGCATCAACAGAGCCGAAACTCGCGGCGATCGCAGAGGCGAAGCCGGAACCTCCGCCGGACCCAGCGGCGGATCGGAAACGGGACAGGCCCACGACAGAGCGAGCGGAGAGCGGCCGGATGACACGGGCAGAGCGTGAGAGTAGCGACGTTGGTCACAGTGACGCACAGAGTGAAGGGAGTGAGGGGAACGTTTTGAACAAAGGAGCAAAGGCTCGAAGGAACAGTCGTGAGACAGAGTGCGAGAGAGGATGTGTGGGTGCGAGTGAGAGCGTCCATGACGATAAATGTAGTGGCGAAGTTGATGGAACCGTTCGTAGTTCAACTGATGGGATGGGCGCTGGCGCTGATGGTGCTGTTCCTGATCATAAGGACGAGTCCGTTGACGGTTGGATCCTACCATCACTTAGTGACAATCATCTGGAGAATTCTCCTGTTTCTGATCACAGTTCGTTCACAGTTATTGACTCTGTCATCCCTACTAGCTCACCCAGTGACGTTTCTGTCATTGGTAGCGGCTCATCCTCTATTTTTCTCCACGTGTCCAAGGATATTCCTGTCGCTAATGACAATCCCACCTCTGGTGACACCCCGACCGATGGTGACACTGAGACTCTAGACCCCAGAAAGGATAGCGGAGGAGGAACGACAGGCTCTCCGTTTGTCCGTTTCTGGGCCCGCGTGTCGGGACGACTGTCGGGACGGTCAAGACGACGCGGAGGCTCAGGTCGCCGCCGGGCTGACCTCCAGGGCGCGGAGTCACAGTCGAGTGAGTGTTGACCTCACAGGGGTGTCATCCTGACCTCAGCTGTCTTGAGGCAGTTTTTAATGGCTGTATAGGTCACAAAATGGGACTGGTGTTACGGCCTGCCGGACAGGTGATAATTAGCTGGGTTGCACTGATTTGATTTCGCCGGTTGTTACAGATAACGGAAAGTGATAGACGCGTATTGCACATACTCGTATGTTCATCGTGTGTGTGTCTCTTCGTATATGGGCAGCGGCCAGCGACAGCAATTTGTGTGTAATGTGTAGGCCAGACCGCCCAGACCACTGTATAGATATGAATATTGAATGGGCAAGAAGTCGAACCGGGAACGTAAATCCATTACACGAGTGGTGGACCGCTCGACCTGCTACTTAAGTTGTTTGTTTCGAGTAGATTCATAGATTGCATCTATACTATTGGAACTGTATATTGGACAAGTGATGCATGCATAGTTATGTGACAGTGGTTGAACATCGAGTGATGTAGCTTTATACCTGGTTAGTGCCGTTGAATTAAGAGTTGTAGTTTGTACCACCGTCACTGAATTCAATACATATTGGAACTCTGTGTTATAGCGTCATGGTTCGCCATTCTGAAACAGACTATCGAAATTCTAGTTAACTAGGATCCCATTATGCACCCATGCCACCACTCTGCACGGGATGCCTAGGCCATCGCCCATCCCGACATTGGGCCATGGTTGAGCCCGGAGGTCTAGAAGTCGAACGCCACTGAATAGATGTGTCAAACCTGAAAGCATGAGCAGACTGCTAACACCACGGTCTGCAATTTTGAATAATTGTGTAATGCATTTAGTATAGACGATGGCCTAATCTATGCGTTGATGCGGCCAGCTCAGCTGCTTTCTTTCCTGCCGCTAGATGTCACTAGTAATAAGCGCCTGAAGACGTAGACTGTGCCGCAAGACGTAAATCGGTGGAGCGCCTGGTGGGTAGACTGTGCCGCATGGCTGAAGCAGTGAAGCTGAGAGCAGCTCCAAATACTGATTTCAGTGAGCCGTGAAAGGTAAGTATACATGTACATATATTTGAATGGCAACGGCTCGTTCGATATTGAGATGATGAAATATGATGACCAGTGAACAGGTGATTCGACAATAACATTACTAGCCAAGCATTGAACGCATGCGAAGTCAATGTTGATGTTATGCGTACAGCGTAAGCACCTATTTTGTTAAATGTTAAATGTTAGCTTTCAACTCGTAATTGATAATTTATTCTACCTTATCACCGAGAAAGCATATTTTTTACACAACACTCCCGGTAAATTTACTTCGCGATGCTATGCTTCACGAGGTACCTATGAACTATGAGCTATGAACCTCTTAAGTCAGCCTAGTTCCCGTATCGATCCTGTCATCATCTATCTACTGAACTTCGACCTGTCTTCAAAACGGAGTGTAGACTTAGAGACGGTATACCACCGTCGTTGGCGATCCCCCCGTCCATCCCCCCCCCCCCCCCCCCCCCACTCAGGAGTGAGCAGCGGCACCACAGCGCCCCTGGCGGAAGCCGAGGACAACCGACCGCCGACGGCCGTCTAAATCGATATCAACATGGCGCCGACGGCGGGACCGCGCTGTGCTCGTGGCGGTGAACGACGGTATCGCTCATGAACCGCCCTGGGATCGAGCGCTGACCGGAGTCTGTGTTCGTCGCCCCGGGGCCCGTGCTAGCCGCCATGCCGACCCGGGTCATCCACAAGACGCTGGACGAGTGTCTGGCTCCGCGCCAGACTATGGAGCACGGCCTCTTCCTGACCAGGTGGGTGGTAGACCGGTACCGGTGGGCGACTCACCGGCCGAGGGATGTTGCCGCTTGGCTCTCAGACTGACAGTGGCTCTGACCTGGCTAGCTTATTATTACTTTATAGGGTGTCAGTTGCTCATAGAGTGTCAAGTGCTCGACGTCTTAGCTTTAGCACGTTACTGGGAACGGCGAAGAGCCGGCATCGAGTACGTGCTCGAGTATGCTCGATATCGGCGGCGGGCACTGCTGCCCACGGAACCGTTTCCCTGTTGGCTAGCGACTGAGTGATGGGGTTGACATTGAAATATAATGATATCACTTCGCAACGCTCTCTTTTCCAACCACGGTGCTAGTAACGCCCCGTTCCCTCGCTCCCTCAGGAAGATCATCGGCAGCCAGCAGCTGAGCGCGTGTGACCCGTTCATCCTGGCCGACCATGTGGGTCCGATCCGATACGGAGCCGGAGAGGCGCTCGGAGTACCCGACCACCCTCACAGAGGTCTGGTAGTGGTCACCTATGTGGTGGAGGGCGGCATGCGTCACCAGGATTCACTGGGGCACAACGGTGAGGAGCAGGGTCGGAAGCCCATGCAGGCTCGATGCAGCGATACCTATGTCTTATCTATGAACTTATTTAGTTTTCATTGTTATTGCGCTGGTTTTGGAGTAAAAAGTGTTGCGAATGTATTTTTATGTTCATTCCATAGGCGTGTAACTTTAGGGCTGCAAGCGTCCCACAATCAAGTGTACCGCGATATCCTAGAAGCGGTACAATAGTCTATTCTATTCTACAATAGTCTATTCCATGAATCATTTTGTTACCACGACTCGTCAAACGTCTACAATTAGGTATATGAAAAAACCCGTTTGCACTCACTGCAGCGCGACCCTTTAACTAACACCATGAGGCCCTGACAAGTGACAGGGGAGTTGTGTTGTGCCGTTTCTTTGTGACGTCACGTGCAGCCGACAGCTATGTGCGTCACGGCCTGCCACAGGGCCTGTCAGCGCCGACCGGGGGCTGTCCTGTCAGCCGGACCGGCGCTGGACGAGATAGTGACCCGGTCCCGGACGCTGCTTGTTAGCGATGGTGGACAGTTTCCGTCCATAATATCAGCTACCCCACTCCACCCCTTCCGCTGGAAAACGCTTGTTTCTGCCGAAAACCAGGCCACTTTCTGTGAGATAATCGTATCGTATGCGTGACCACCTTTGTAACATACCGATCTACCGATTGGAGCCTCTTCAGTCATCAGCTCTCTAAAATGTCGTAATGTCTGCAACAGGCTGCTTGTCTCTTTATCAAAAACGTCTAACGTTTGAAGCAGACTTCATCCCTTCTTTGACGGACAACGCAGTCAGTCAACAAATCAGCTAGAACTGCTATAGCGACATCGCAGCGGGCCGATGCGTTATAAGTTACCGTCTAAAATGGCTATTTCATCCCGGTTTAGCTGAAGTAGCGATCGTTACTTACACAAAAGAAGGTAAAATGTTACGCATACCAAAGTCTGCATCAAAGTGTATACCGGCTGTGTTACTGTATAGTGAGTAGGTACTACCACTTTTTACGCCCAATTTAGGCGGCAGTGCACATAATAACCGCAGGTTGTTTTAATAGCGTAGGCGATTTCGAAAGTACGGTACGGTCTGTCTATGGCGAACTGACGAAATCGGTTGCACTACATATATTTGGCCGTAAAAAGGTGTATCTGTCGGTATTCCGAACTTCCAGACCCTAACGACCCTCGCATGTCTACTCAGGCGAGCTCCTGGCAGGCAGCGTGCAGTGGCTCACCACCGGGCGAGGGCTGGTGCACAGAGAACTGCCCAACGACAGCCTCCTGGCCAACGGGGGCACCTGGGAGGGTTTCCAGCTCTGGGTCAACCTCCCAGCCAAGGTACGCTATAAGGGAGCCCATATAGATGCTCAGGTGAATTTCTTAAGCCATATTTATGCTTCTAATTTGTTTCTTTGGACACTATGTTCAGTGGCTTGATTTTACTGTCAGGGAGCTACGTGATATTCACCTTTTTATCCATTTTACTGGCCATTTACTCGTATTACGCTTGTGGCTCGACGGACAGAGCATGCTTCCTTTCAATGATCAAGAATCATAACTGACGCCATAATTGGAACTGATCAACCATGCTGTTTTTCAGGACAAGATGATGTGCCCCGAGATGCAAGAGGTTCGTCCTGAAGACGTGCCAGAGTACATAGACGAGCAGCATCGGTTTGCCGTCAAAGTGCTCGTCGGACAGTACAAAGGTGGGTTCATGGTTACAGTCGGATCAACGTGACAAGAGACAAGAGGCGATAAGAGACAATATTTTGTTGTCACGTGACTCAACCGGTAATATGGATAGATATTTTTGTGTTATCGCTACTTACTGTGGGGGGGGGGGGGGGAGGGAAGAAATATGTAATCTATTAAACATATTTAATGATGTGTTCTTTGGTAAAACCGTAGGAAACCCCAGTTTATTTCTTAGTGTGTCGATATTATATGGTGTTGTAGGTATATTTTCATTAAAGGGCCTCACTCCTTATATAAGAACAGCTGACTGCGACGTTCCTCGTAACTGAAATAAGATACACTAAAATACCAGGTACGCAATTAGCAATAAGGCTCATTTTTTACACATACCTGTCAACTGTTGTGGACGTTTTAGCCGCGGGCACTCATCAAAGCAGCTGCACTGCGTCTCGTTAGGGGCAGTTCTCGTCCCTTCCGGCGCCTCGGGTGTTCTGTTTCCTCTGCCCGTCTACGCTCATTAGCATTAACTGCTCCGAAAACTGCCGTCGGGGTCGACTGGGAACGGCAGTGGGAACCCGACCCGGTCTGACCTGCCGGCCGGAGCCCACCGCCGCCGCCGGGGTGCAGCGTTCCGCCAGTGTGGGAACACGGAACTGCGCCTGACTGCCCACGCAGTGCTGATGTAACGCATCCGCGAGCCTGAGAGCTGGCTCCTACCACTCCCCGCGGGCCCTCAGACGTTACCTAACGCCCTACGACCACCCTACCGCCTTGATTCACGTCTGACGCCACCGCTCCGCCCTGCAGAGCTGCGCTCGCCGATCCGGACGCACACCCCGGTGACGCTGCTGGACGTGCGGGTGTCGGCGGGCGGCGCGTTCAGCCTGGAGCTGGCCGCCGGCCACACGTGCTGGCTGTACGTGTGGCGCGGTGCCGGACAGCTGGGGCACGCCGAGCAGCGACCCGTCACCGCCGGACACGTGGCACGACTCAGCGACGAGGGACACGCCTTCCGCGCCGAGGCCGACCGCGATCAGGGTCAGTGGGGCGGGATACGATTGAGGGAAGAATATCTGTAAGAGAGGGTAGACGAGAAATGAGGACCGTGGAAAGTTTGAGGGTGGAATCGATGGGGAGAATAAAATAGTCCGAGGGAGCAGGAAAGAACGAACCCACTAGATCGTATGATGGAGCCATGACGTGCGGTATATCATTTTTTGTAGCCTCGTCCTCTTTTTTTTTTTTTTGTCTTATGCCACCCGAAGCCGCCCGCTTACGCTTCACTGCACGACAAGCGAACTTGTATCGTCATGATGTAGCCTACTGTAACTTAAAGTATACGGAATGATTTATAGCTTAATATTAACAGCGACCCTCTAATTTCAGAAATGCGGCTTCTCATCGGTTCTGGGGTACCTTTGAAGGAATCAGTCTTCAAGTTCGGTACATTTGTCATGAGCTCCGTATCTGAAATTGAGCAGGTAAGTCGTTACCAAGGCATCCGTAACTCATCAATTAATGAAAGATTGACGAGGTGCCAACGTTTCGCTTATGAAAAACGTTGCATAGATAAGAAACTTCGCTCAGAACTTCGCATAGTCTTCTCTCTGAACTTCGTTCAGAGATAACGACACATATCTGTTGCGTTTGGCACTTGAGCTCATTCGCCGTGCCATTCACCGTTAAGTTCTCATTTATCACATTCGTGCGGCCTGACCGTTTCCCTCCGTCCCCGATTTGCTGCAGGCTCTGGAGGACTACCGCAGCGGTCGGCTGGGTCAGATCACTGTGGGCGGCGGTCCGGCGCAGGCCGCCGGCTCGGCGGCGCTGCCCGGCGCCGCGCGAGGCCTTGATCTGCTCAACCCTTTCCAGGGCGAGATTGAACAGCTGGCGGTGGCCGAGGGTGAGGCACCGGCGCCGGGTCCGGCAGCCCTCTCTGACCCGGCTACGGCCCATCTCACCAACGGGCATCGCCACTGACCTATTGCCTCCGGTGGGTACAGTACAGCAGCGCGGCCACAAGAGTTTGTATTGGTGTTTGAACTACCTATGTTTGTTGGTACTCAAAGATCGAGGCCCCGGGGCTAGCCTCCGCTGGCCGTAACTTCTAGTCCGGTAGAGCTGCAGATGGTGTTTCCGATCGAAGCCAAAGTTGTCTCAGTTATTCTTGCCGAATTTGGTATAACTTATGCCTTGTCATAAATAACGTTATGAATGGTAATAGTGCAGCCAGATAGGCTCAGTGACGCACTTCATAAATACACACATCCGGACTCTTTCCAATTACTGTAATTGTATTGTATATGTAATTATGTCTTGCGAAGATACCGTCAAGTTTCGATTTGCCTCTTGCATGTATCTCTTACAACTTGCATGCAGATGCATACTGTTTATTCATAGTTTTACAGAAACCCACGCACTTTTGTCTTCTCTCCATTCACATAAATATTAACACGCATCAGCACAGTTATGCCCTTCACAGACCATTAACAAGCCATTTGGACTGTTTCAGATTACCCAGCACGCTTTACGCCCCGGAGTGGTTATCGGCCTTATCTGAACCAGGCGAACTGTCTGTGTGCCCTGAAACCGACTCAACTTCTGGTCTGAGCTGCTTCCCTCGACCATCCATTTGTCCGGTATGGGTACCAACACCGCCAGGAACAAGCACGTTTGAACAGAGCCGAGGCTCTCGTCTCATGCTCTCCTGACCGAAGAGAACGAGTGCGGTTACAGTGCGTTAGCAAATGCGCAGTGAGCTTAGCTAGAAAGGGAGCGCGTCCAATGATGAAGGTCTGGATGCTTCCAGGGTACGACACCCTCAGAAGCAGACCACAGTAAACGTTAACTACGGTCTACACAGTACGAGTATGGAGCCCAGGGACATGTTGTTATCAGGGCAGCGTGAAAGTGCACTCATTGCTATATGTACGATACGGAGCGCGAGACGCGCTCGTCTGTTGGAAAGGAGCGGACCTCACCTGTTCCGCGACGTTGGAAGGGCCGGCGGAGCCGGGCGAGCGTTACTTTCTGTCGTGATATGCTGCTGACGTGTGCGGTGTATAACGCTTCGATCCATGAATACACACCTTCAGCTGTCGTGCCGATCTAGTCATATAATACAAACTGATTGCTATGCACAGACCAGAAGATGGCTTTCGTTTCTGGCGCCGTTGTCAGCTCCCCAAGGGAAACCTGGGATCGAACTGCGGACCCATTTGAGAACTGATGAGACGTTCATATTCCAGCGACTGTGATCTGTAGTCACGGGCTGGGAGATGTGACTATCTTCGGTTAGTTTTCTGTCTATGCAAATGCTAGATATCGCGGGAGAAAATCCTACGTTCCAGGGTGTGCTATGTGACAATCCAAACCACTCCCTACCAATATTATTCATGATGATCGAAGTTTTTCACGCCTTCCTGACCAGTGCACTGGTCAGGAAGCAGAACCACTGCAGTGGTTCTGCTTCCGCTTGATCCCCTATCTACTCGTTCACCAGCACCAGACAAAGACCACCCTGCGGCGCACAAGATCCTACCGCATCATATTGCTCGGCCGGCCGAGACGACGGACGACGGCAGACTAGGCCGAGTGCCGACGCGGCGGTGGCTCTGGCACGTCATGCACCGCACGCACACTAGGTTACATACGTATTCCCAAAAAGGGATTTGAAGCGAAAGTAATGGTTATTTGATGGAACTATTTAATTTCAATATAAATTTATAACTAATTTGAAAGTTCCTTTCACGGTGTGGCATAAAAGTATTGTGTTTTATTGAACTAATTTATTTGATATCGATTCTACGAGTTTCGTAAGCCATCTCGTTTTGTAATCCACAAAGCTCCAGATCCGTTCCTAATCTCTGCTGAGCTGGGCTGGTGATAAGCGTGATTAATCCATAATTGCGTCGGGCTACAGTTCACAATCAATGGGTTTGTGGGTCAAAGCTTTTTTGGCTCCTCATTTCGTCTTTTGCTTTTCACTTTCTGTTACACGTCATATCTTGGATGACCTTCTAAAATCAAGGAGCTGGTGCATTCATAGACTGATTTTAGGTTCTAGTCACCAGAAACAATATTTAGCAAAAAAGTGCCCCAAAAATGAGTAACGGGTAAATGATATGGGCGGTACCTTGCTTAGGGATGTGATCGACATGCTCTTTTCCAAACTCTCTGTTAACATTTGAGCTGAGAGTGAGATATTGCGTTACGATAGCAAGTTCATTAAAGTGGCCATCCCACCTTAACATTAGTTTTGAGTTGAGATAGCCAAATTGGGGTCCCTAGCTTGCACTTACCGATTTGGGCACTAACAACATCGAGCATTGCTTTAATGTGTAGATATTTAATTTCAAACTTGCAGTTTTCAGATTCTAAGAAGCTAATGCATTTTAATGCACCCTTGCTATTGGCGACGTCAGCGGAGGTCTCTGGTCTAACGATTTATAAATCTCAAACTAAAACCATCGTTAAAACGTGTTTTTTTTAGTGGCCCTAACTTACGTTACCGGCCTCGCGAGGAGGGCGGCGACCTATAACTACGCCGCGCAAAACGCGCAAAAGAAACCGGCCGTCCTAACTAAGACCGGTGGCCACTTTACTGCAAGACAACATGGGAAAACCGTTTTGATATATAGGTACTGTCTTGCGCGCAACATCTGCCGCACTTTTATGATGTCAAAAAAGTATTGCTTTCAAATGACGGGAACAGCGACGGTCCCAAAAAGTAAACAAAAGTAAAAGTCTAATATCTTGAAAACTAGTAAATATTTTTCGGTGAAATTTGGTAGGTATAAGGAAGATATTCATTTGTTATCTTTCTGAAGTCTGAACCACGGGACATCGCTTTTATGTCAATTCATTAGCTTTTCTTGAAGGTGGGAGGGTCCTTTTAACACAAGCGACACACTGCTCTCTTTCAGTTCCTTTTTGTGACAGCAGCTAATGGGCAAGAGACATCTTCCAGCTCCTTCTCGTCCCATTGCAATGTCTCTGGCAAAGTGACAAAGTTCGATATATGATACTTGTCTTTTTTGTGGATTAAGCGCGTTATTGGTGTACGTTTTCAGTAACCTGTCATACAAAAAGACGCTCAATGAAAAATAAACCTCGTCATTGTCGTTTAAAGTGTCATCGAGAAGCCGAGAAAGCACTCGGCCAAGGATGGTTCATAAGAAAACAGTTCGGTGCCGTTCACGAAGAAATGATGGGAGCACGTTGCTTTGAGGTCGTTTTGTTTCGCGTGATGTCAGCTACCACACAGCAAAACACCTCTGTCGACACACACCTTGTTCTTTTGTATTAGTCTCTCTTGTGTACCTCTCAAAGTACCTGCGATGTTGTCTTGTTTTATATGCATGCGTCGTGAGAAAAGTTACCCAGCTGCTGACTCCATCTCAGCATTATTCCCGGAGCTATCGTAAGCCTGCGCGACAAATTGGCTTCTGGTACGAGTGTATTGTTTGCACCAAACCGTCGAGCCGTCGGCACAGAGATAGACAAGGGATTCTGAATAGTTGTGCCGGGACCGGCGACAGGCTGTCGGAGACTCGGTGTGACCGTCACCGGTCTGCGGCAGCCCACCGACGGCAGCGTCACGGGAATACCACGGTAGATTCACGGTGATATCACGACAGAGTCACGGAGATATCACGACAGCCGGTACGGAGATATCACGGTGACGTCACGGTGATATCACGGTAGCGTCACGGCGATATCACGGCAGCGTCACGAAGAATTTAGCTCAGCGTCACAGAGATATCACGGCAGCGTCACGGTGGTATCACGGCGGCGTCACGGGGATATCACAAAATGACATGACTGTCGCTGCGTCGTTACGATGTCGTCACGGCGGCACCGTCACGTTGATGGTGTAAGTACGGCGTGACCGGCCGGCTCTGATTTCCTGCATCACTTCTGCAGCTCTTCTTCGCCTCCCTTGAACGGCCAACGGCTGACGGGCCCTGAAACAAAGAAACGAAATAACACTAAATTTCAATGACGGCTCCTGAAAAGCTAAAAAAGAAAATGACGCTATAATTGTCTTGACCTATCCGTTATTTTGAATCAGTTTCCTTTCCATGCTTCCTCATGGAATGTTTCAGTTTACTAAAATGAAATACATTTATGGCTGGAATAATAATTATCCTTTTTTTCGCAAAACAAGTTAACGTTTTGGTTTTAAACATGTGCACTGTGTAGTCTGAACTAACAAATCGACATGGTGGGGACATGGTGGTAATCAGAAGATCCGACGGACCTCGCGATGCCAGCGCGAACCGACTGACCTGGCGGATTTAGCGCGATCCGCCTGACCGGTGGCATCTGTACACGTTTCCCGGGTCGATGGCAACACAGGTGAACGAGAGGCCGTCGCTCAGCTCAACGGTCATCCCTTCTGATGGCCCGGATACAGCTGAAAAGTAGACAACTGATGAAACATTTTGCCTTTTAATCATCGTGCCTGCATAAAATGAGGTCAGGTTTTAGTTCATACATGCTATCACACACTTTGAATCATGCATGAAGAATACGGAGCGATTTAAAAGCCGGCTTTATTGACAAACACAGATTTGAGGGTGGCAAAGAGTCCCCATCGTTCACCCTCGGCCTAGCTCACGAGTCCCTGATTCAGTACCTTGCCCTCAGTTTTTACTTTAAAGTATCGCTATAAAGTGTCTCTAAACTTTTTTTTGTCTTCCTAGAAATGATGGCCAGACACTCACCTTTATCGCTATCTGTTGGCCTTTCTTGACTCCTTTTACCGAATCTGGGCCCCAAGAAGAATCTGTCTGACTTGGTCTCCATAGAAAGGACATCTGCCAAATTAGAACAAACAGGCACACGATGAGCTCATGCAAAGGAAGAGGAGATAGCCCATGTTATAATTCGGAGCTTTATCACACGATTTTTGTGAAAACAGTTTCGGATTTGATATCGCTACCAAATGGCCACTTAATAATCAGTTTTCAAAAGGAAATATCACTAAAAAAAAGTAATTTTGAGATGCACGCATCGGTACATCAAACCAGTTATCAGATGTTAAAAGTAAGTACACGTGTGATTAAAGCGTTGCCATAGCGTTGACTGTATGGAGACGAAACGGTATCACATGTAGCCTATAGCTCGATATCGACCAGCGACGTATTTTTCCCAATACCGGAACAGTTGCTAGTGTTTGTTAGGCTGACAGTCGGCACCAGCCTTTTGTGCCCACTGTTTGTAGTGTTCGACCAGCTTTTACAACAGCTTTGTTTGCATGAGCTGGTGAAAGGAGGTCCCCCATCGGCCATGTGACAGCAGTAAGCAGCGAATGAACGTGTTGTGCGTATTGCAGTCACGGGATCTTCTCACCTTATATTTTCCGTTTATGACAGCGAAAACACTCACTTCTATACCTAGCCAAAAGTCATCCTTAAATTTCGGTCATGAATGTCAGTTACGTGAGATAAAGCTACAAAACACCTTATTGCTTCATTTTATTGCGATGTTTTATTTGTATTGTTGGGTTAAGCCCTTTCAGTCCAATGAGACCATTGCAGAGCCGGGAGGATGACAGGAATTAGGGGAAGACATTGGTCTGGGCACTCAGTGGGCAGGCACCCTATAGTGAGTCGCCGGGGCTGAGCCCGTCCAATTGGACAAGCCGACCAGCCCCCAAAGCACTCACTGCACCCGGCTGCGGGTGTGCTCCCTTAGGAGCTGCGGTGCTCTCCAATGGGCCTGGGAGCCGCCCGCATGGGATGAAGTTGCCTGTCCAGCCCGGTTTGGGCGTTGTGGCGTGGAGGAGAAGGATTTGTCTGTTCTGAGACTTCTGAGGATGGAAATGACAGAGCGGGTATGAATATTGCGATGCTTCAGCTTGTCCTCACCACTTGTATAGTCGGCACTGTAAGCGCGCACGCTGTGAGTGGCATGCTGTCCCGCAAAGCACCTGTGTTATGCGGTACATGACAGTATCGGGGCGTTTCTGCCACTCCCCGTTCGACGTGACGGCCCCAGTCAGTCATGTGACAGCGAGCTGTGCAGGTTACCTCGTTTGGAAGCGCCGTCCTCGTCTGGAATGGTATAGAAGCCGGGGAAGGCGGAGCTCCGACTGGCGAGCGTCAGCAGCATCAGCAGCCCCAGAAGAACACGGAGACAGGGCGATCGGACCATCGCAGTCGTCTACCGGCGAACCATGGAGTTACGCCGAGATGAGGGGTGCAAACACTTGTTATTGCTCTGTGTGTTTACTGTCTTAAACTAAAGTACATGTTATAAAGGATAGGAAGTCATGACCGTTCTCAATATGCTGAGGACTATTTATTAGACATTTTGTGTTAGTGTTCTCCGATAGAATAATTCAAGATATATCTTTTGCGATAAAACAAAATACGTGTAGCACCTCCACCTATTTTGTTTTAATACTTTTTTGTTGTGAATGAAAATCGGAATAACATTAACAAATGTAATAAAGCCGACATAAGCCCAGCAAAATTTTCATACGGAAAGGTGTCATGCAAATGCATATTCACCTGTAAGCATAGGCGCGGGAGCCGGGGGGGGGCAGTGGGGGCAGCTTGCCCCCCAACTCTGGGGCCGTGGGGGCGGTGCCCCCACAGCTTTGAGACGGAATACCACACTTTTTTGCAAATGTTTTCTTTTTTTGTTGAAAAAGCCGAGGGGTGAAAAATAAGTGGCCTAAAACCGGTGAGAAAACTAGATTTGGGGGTACCCTAGGTTGATCTCTATTATGGTGTGCCCCCCCCCCCCCAGTCGGAAAGAAGTTTCCGCGCCCCTGCCTGTAAGTTGTAACAAACGCATGCGAGAACAATGCCGGAACAACGACATATACCTCGCCATCATGGGCTGTCGATAACTTGTCAAAGACATTCGAGTCACGATAGTCATTTATTCAACAACAGACACATAGTATCAAGCTATTTATCATGCGACATCCTTATTTCGGACATATGAATATGTGTCCCGCTAACAATCAGACTAGCATCATAAGTTGCCTCACTCATACATACGGACAATTACGAATAGTATTGAGCCGTATGCACATAGAGCCATATTTTCGTTTTGTGATAGTGACTCGGCACAAAACGGCATTCAGCTATCAAATAGCACCTTCAGCCGCGGTTCCCAGGCCCCGGGGAAGGTACTCCACTTATGCGTACTAATTACCAGCTAATTAATGATGGAACATGTGTGTTTTTCACGGATAAACGGCGGACATTTGGATTTTTGTATCTGCGTAGATACGAGAGGGCCAATGCAGGAAAGCTGTGCCGCGGTACAGATGTGTAATGCGGCACAGTCTACCATCGCATCAGTTGTGAGCATGCATGCACACGTTGTAGGAAGCAGTGTTTCTGAAGATATCAGTAGCGGCCACTGGCGGATCCAGGGGGGGGGGCCACGGGGGCCATGGCCCCCCCAAAGGCCTAAAGTGGCCTGTTTGGCCCCCCCCAAAACGTAAGAAAAATTGCTAAGAAAATATACCTTGATGGAGGTTTTTAGCCACTTGGTGAAGTAAAGCTTTCCACAGCATAATATGGAAGCAATATGGTAGCAGTGAGGGTCAGTCAAAAGTTGCGCGAGTGGAGTCGACTTTCAAAAAAGACTTGTTGGCACGTGTTTATGGCGCGGTAGCTGGGAGTTGGCGGTGTTTCGCGTGGTGTGGCATCACTGGCGGATCCGGGGGGGGGGGGGGGGGGGGCACGGGAGCCTGAGGTGCCCCTGACAGACCCGTGGTGCCCTTGGTAGGTCTGTGGTGCCCCTGGACCCTGGCAGGCCTGTGGTGCCTCTGGCGGGCCTAGGGTGCCCCTGCTAGGCTGCTGATGCCCCTGGGACCTGACAGGACTGTGGTGCCCCTGACAAGCCTAAAGTGCCCCCAACAGGCCCGTGATGCCCCCGACAGGCCCAAGGTGCCCCTGCGTGATGCCGTGATGCCTGCGAGGCCGGTGGTGCCCCTGCGAGGTCGGTGGGCCCCTGACAGGCCCATGGTGCCCCTGCGAGGCCGGTGGGGCCCCTGCTAGACCGGTGGTGCCCCTGGCAGGCCTGTGGTGCCCCTGCTAGGCCGCTGGTGCCCCTGGGCCCTGACAGGACTGTGGTGCCCCTGACAGGCCCAAGGTGCCCCTGTAAGGCCTGTGGTACACCTGCTAGGCCTCTGGTGCCCCTGACAGGCCCATGGTGCCCCTGCAAGGCCGGCGGCGCCCCTGGCAGGTCTCTGGTGTCCCTGACAGACCTGGGGTGCCCCTGACAAGCCTAGCCTGTGGGGCCCCTCACAGGCCCGTGGTGCCCTTGTTAGGCCTGTGGTGCCCCTGGCGGGCTGGTAGTGCCCCTGCTAGGCCGGTGGTGCCCCTGACAGGCCTGTGGTGCCCCCGGGCACCAAGGGGGGTCATGACCCATGTGGCCCCCCTTGGATCTGCCACTGGTACATATTATATTGATTTGTAATGGCGTTATGGCTTATGCAATATGCAATTGCAGGCACTTGGTATCCCTCACTTATCCCTCATTGGGGGCTCTGGCGGGTTCCTGAGGGCCCACGTCTATCTCCGGGAGCCCTAGACAGGCTCCTTTGGGTCCTTTCAGTCCACTATAGCATAAGAGGTCTCCATGCGAGTCCTATACATCTGAGGACGTACCCTGACGTCTGAGGTACTCAACTACAGCTCCAATGGTCTCTTACACTGGCGGATCCAGGGAGGGGGCATTTAGGGCCATGCCCCCTTCCCAGAGGCCTAAAGTGGCCCGTTTGCCCCCTCCCCCAAGCGATAATGAAGCACAGTTCAATCAGTGCCTGGCCCAGGAGCCGAGTTAGACCACCTCCCGTTTTACCACCTCCCGGCCCGCAAAGGGACCCAAGCACTGACTCGAAGCGGGTTAACTGGTCGACAAAAGCAATAGTAAGTGTTTACAAAGTAATATAAAGGCATGGGTCGGGTGGGCTACCATTTATATATTTCTATTTTTAGTTAAAAAAAATATCCATAGTGTCAGGGCTGTGACGAAAAATAAGTGGCCTAAATCCGATGAGAAAACAGGATTTGGGGGTACCCTAGGTTTGGCTCCTGCATGAGTTGGCCCCCCCCCCCAAAACGCAAGTCTGGATCCGCCAGTGGTAGCGGCGGAACACCTTCAATTAAGGGGGGGGGGGCACTGCCGACTTTTGGTCCCATTCTTTCCATGCAACGCCCATAGGGCCAATGTTAGAATGCCAAAATCAAAGGGGGGCACGATGCCCCGGTGCCCTCCCCGTTCCGCCGCCTATGGAAGATATGGCATTCACTGAGAGCTGTTTTGATTCCTTTTAAGCATATTAGGGGAATTGGTCTAAAACAACACCCTGATCATTTCTCCGAATATACCCCAAACACACTTTCTTTGAATATCACTCTGAAATTCTTCTTATATACCCTACACTGAGAACCTTTTTGATTCCTTTTGAGCATATTAGGGGTTTTGGTCTAAAACAACACCCTGATCATTTCTTCGAATATACCCAAACTATACCCTTGTTCTTTAAATAGCTCCCTTGAATTCTTCTAATATACCCTAGTAAGTACCGAAGAGGAAAGGAATATGATTCCTGTTCTATTCCCTGCGATACCCAAAGTACATTCCTTTTAACCTACCAAAATACCCTTACATCGAAACCTCTAGTATTCCTTCTAAGCGTATAAGGGGAATATTTTGTAAACTATACTCGCATTATACCACGTAACACTCCCGTATTATTCTGTGATTTCCATCACTGATCTCAATGTATTCTTGCATTACACCCCACATAAACCCAGAAGGGAAAATAATAATGCCCTAGGTATATTCGTCGTAGAACTTGCTCAGAAACTGTCTCATTACTCTCAGCTCCCTCGTCCGATTTCCCTTTATATATCGTAACACATCCAAAACGAGGGTTAAGGTTCTATCCCCAGCAGGGCGCGTATGGCTGAATAGCCCAGCGGGGCGCGGGTTAGTGGTCAGCAACACGTCCAGGGAGCGACTGCCCGTCCTCCTCGCCCGCCCGGCCGGCCAGTCCCGGCCCGCCGACCGGTCACCGCCGGAGGCGCCGAGCGGCACAGGTACGGTATCTGACAGTAGCGGCAGAGACTGTACACTAGGGTATATTAGAAGAATTCAAGGGAGGAATTTAAAGAATGAGGATATAGTTTGGGTATGTTCGAAGAAAATGATCAGGGTGTTGTTTTAGACCAAAACCCCTGATATGCTTAAAAGGAATCATTTGAGGAATCATTTGAGTATCTTAAGGGCATTCCGCCAGGAAAACGGCAGAGTTATAGGAGCATGACACACCATGATCAAAGGGAATAGAGAATCGTTTTGGTTTTCAGTGTTTGGCATCTAGCAGAAATCATTTCCCGAATTATTTCCTTCGCTGGAGAGAATCTTTCGGAGTATGTCATTTGCCGACATCCACAGTAGCATCACTTGAGAACGAGGGAAAATAGTCAGACGCACAGAGCTGAGACAGCCACAATTAGCTGGCGACCGCTTTAGCTGTATGGAAGGAGACGAAATAAAGATAAAGAAGCATAAAAATAGCGGACCTATTGACATCAAAAATATTGCTTGGCGGCCAAATTCCAATCACTGAACACAACAAACCAGTCACCCTGAGAGGGCTTCCTTTATAGGGGAGAGTGGGGAAAGATGCCCAGGGTTTTGCAATGTCATATATTATTCGAAAATGACAATCGCAATGCAAAAACTTGGAGTTTCAATGGAAGCCGACATCATTTTTCTTCAAAAAATATCACGCTTTCGTGCCTGAAATATGATAACTGTTTTGCTATTAAGCATTTTCCTGAAGCAGTGAAAGGGGGCATCTTACCCCAGAGGGTGGGAAAGACGCCCCCTGGCGTTGGGGAAGATGCCCCCTGCACTATAAGTGACATAAATGGGCACGTGAATTGCCTGAAGGAATCAGTAGTCCCTTCGAGCCTGCGGTAGACACTAAACGCTATCATAAGGGCCCTAAAAAGTCGTCGTGAGGGGCTTCAGAGTTCATCGTAGGGCCATCATGTCCAGTGCGGCCAAACGAGCCTCCGTGGTGGCGTTTGGAGACCGTCTTGGGGCCCTTATAGGTCTTCATGATGCTTGAGGGCCCTCAAGCCGCCCAACGTGGGGACCTCAGATGCTAGCGCGGCCCGTGG